CGCACAATGAAAAACATACAATGTAACACAGCTCTTGAACATTCAGATAAATAACCAAATCTTGCAATTTTCTGATTCTGCAAAAATTCTTGGTGTTGTTTTTGATACAAAATTAAGGTTTATTGAACATGTTAAAAGTCTATCTCAGAAAACCTACCTACGGCTGCGCACTCTTATAGCAAACAGGTATTTACTAAATTTTAAGATGCGTAAAAAACTATGTGAAGCATTGGTCATATCTATACTAAATTATTGTAATATCGTATACTATACTTGTTTAGACAATTTCACTAAAAACGTTATTCAAGTTATTCAAAACAATTGTATACGATTCATTTTTGGCTTACGTAAATTTGATCATGTATCGGCGAAATATCCCGTTCTAAACTGGTTAAAAATTAATGACATGGTCAAGTATCACTATTCAGTTTTGTTCACAAATTGCTGCTCATTTGATAATGATGTTCACTGTAGAACTCTCAGAGAAAATAATATTAGAATACCCCTGCATACGTCTACACTTTTTAAACGCAGTTCCTAAAGTATATAAAGAATTTTCATTACCTGTCTTTCGACAAAAAGTTAAAACATTATTACTCAACCCTCCAAACATATAATTTACGTAATCATTCATTTCTTTTTTATTTCATCTTTAATTCAGATTAATAATTTTTTGGTGCATTTGGGTTTGGAAAGTAATGCCTTTTTCTCTTTTTTTTTAAATTTTACTTTCGATCTGTTTGTGGATAGTGTATTCTTTTGAACATCTGCTAGAGACTATAAAGTTAAGTGTAAGAGTAGCAGCATGCTAAACTTCGCCATATAAGTCTGACATTTGGCTATACTACAATGTAATTGTGGATAAATAAAGACGTCTATTATTATTATTATTATTATTATTATTATTATTATTATTATTTGTAAAGCATCACAATCTTAAACTAAGCCCCTCAAAATCGCAAGTAATGGTTATGAATAAAAGCAGTGATAAAAGAGAACATTTTGAACAAAATTTAGTAATTTCTATTAACAATGGCAATCAGGAGACAAAAAAATTTTATCTATAGGGTTATAAAACCAGGTCAACCGCCCTATTCAAGAGAAAGATTTATGCGTTTGCCTCGTGCCCAGAGGTGCAGAAATAATCTCAATTTTTTCGTACCTAGGCATAGAACGCGTTCCTTCCGACGATCGTTTGCTTATGTGGCAGTTTTTATATTGCTTAAAGATTTTTAGGGTGTTCAGGGCTTTCTCGCATGGACTCTTTGTATTAAAGGGTCCAATGTATCGGTTTTATAATCGAGAGACTGTCCATTTTCGTCATTGCTCTATATTGCAGAATTTCCTTTGTTTATGATGTTTATTCACGACGAAATAAATATTTTGAATTTGAATTGAGGTTAAACTTTATCTCCGACTTACCGAGTCCTGTCAGGAACGATTTGCTTATCGGATGTAATGCTAACGTTTGATTTCCGTTTCTTGCACCCATGACCAACCGCAAACAGCGCTGTTTCGTGCTCATTTGCAACTCGTCAGTGCGGCATAAGTCTTAGGTATAGCTTTGGATACAGACGGAAGGGAAAGCAAAGAAGTGGGTATGGACAAAACATTGATGAAAAAGCATCTTTGACGAACCATTGGTTCCTCAGATTTTTCACCTTAAATTGCTTGTCGGAGTTTCGATCACCAAGAATGTGATTCAGCTCAAACACGTCTCGTCAATCGCGGCAGATGCTCAAGAGAAACTGCCATATGTTCAGGATTACGAAGTACTTTTTTGTGATTTTCAAAAATATTCCAGCCTATGTTCAATAACTTCCCCACGATAAAAGACGCATTCGGCCCCCAACTAAGCAGTGATGCCCAGATGACTATACCAGGCACGCCGCTGCCTTCTTTGGTCCAAGATTATCCAGAAGTGTATCCAGAAGCACCTTCAACTGTCGCTCACACACCGGTGATTGAAAGAAAAGAGGAGGTAATAATTAATTATTCAAATTATGGTGGATGCGCACAAGAAATCATGTGCACTCCCAACAAAATTCAAAACAAACATTTAGAAAACACACTCAAATCAAAAATAATGTGTTACCTCCACACCATAGAAGCGTTATTTGTATTTGGTCACAATTCACAGAACTGACTGGTTTTTTTTATATTCAAGCTATTTTAATCACGGTTTGATATTGATGCTTAGAAAACTGACATACATGTATTAAACTTAACAGGCACTAAGTCATCTCATAATTTTGATAAAATCCAGCGTTCATCCCGTTTGTGGAACATATGGCTCGGAATTTCATGAAGAAATACAAAACAGACTTTTTCTCTAAGGTGATACGTTTTCGACTTGAAGTCTGAAAAGCCCTAAAAATGGCAATCTTCAATGTTGAAAAACTCGATTTTAGATTACTATTTTTGAGATTCTCAAGTGACTGAATCAAATTACAAGCCTTTCCATCGGAACAGTATCTTTGGTTTAGCGAATGGAAAATTATCTTCATGTCAGTTCTGTTTTCATTTTCATTGACAGTATTATAGCTAAAAACTCTTATCAGATTTTGGATCCAGAAAGTTTATACTTCCGGGATGGCAGGAGGAAAATTGATATGGTCCTGGTTTACGAAGAAGAAGAATTGGGAGTCATGACTGAGGCAGAAGCTAGAAGAAGAGATAGAAGGAAAGTATTTCAGGTAATTATAAATTTTTCTTTATTAGCTGTAAGATTTTGAAATTGTATGTTTCTATCTGCTTTTTTATATTTTTGGTTTGTATCGAAAAGTACCATAGTACCATAGAAAAGATGGATAATGACAAGCAAGATAATTTTAACATATACAGGGTGTTTCAGTTTATTGTTGCATAACTTTAAGATTCGTTAGAACTTTCAAAATCAATGCATAAAGTCTATATATCGAAAAATGCGTGGCTTCCGAAATACAGGGTGTTTAAATTTACTTTCTAAAATAGTTTTTTTAATATTTCGAACAATATTTGATGTATAACAGTGAAAATTGGTATACAAGGGTTTTTTGGTACGACGAAAAATTTTTCTTAGTGTAAATTTTTGCTTTTTGAATAAAAAAACTGCAAATATTTTTGAAATTGAAAGCAGAATAAGGTTAAACGTCAATTAGTTGACAGTTAGTTTTATTGTCTGTTGAAACCCGAAACGTTTTTTTTGCAATAGTGAATGCACGAAATTTAGTTTCTTTTACCTATTTTTTATAAAAATGCCATTTTTATTCTCCAATCAAGAGTTAGCGGATATTCATTTTGTGTATGACTTTCAAAATGGAAACGTAGCAGAAGTAGCCTGAGAATACGCACGAAGATTTCCAAACAGACGACATCCAACTCGCTCAGTATTTGTAAGAGTGCATCGCCAAATAATTGAAAATGGTTTTAGAAATCCCCAAAGGGATCAAAACATAAATGTTCGTCAGCGCAGATTTACCCGTATGATTCTGCGTGAGTTTGATAGAGATCCGACCACAAGTGTTAGGAGAGTTTCTGGTGCCTTGGGAATTTCAGCAAGCCATGTTCACCGTATTCTTAGAAATGACCATAGACGTCCTTACCATTTGCAACCTGTGCAAGGACTACAGCCAGGGGACGGGGAACGAAGAATCACAATTTGTCAGTGGATTCTTGATAGAATACTGATAATAATAGGGAGTTTTTAAGTAACGTTTTATGGACCGATGAGTCATGCTTCACTAGACGTGGAGTGGTAAATTTTCATAATCAACATATTTGGTCGCATGAAAGTCCGCATGCAGTTCGGGAAAGAAATTTTCAGCATGAATTTAGTGTGAACGTGTGGATTGGTATCTACCGTAATCGACTATTTGGACCCTACCTTTTGCCTGCAAGGTTAAATGCTGCGACCTCTTCGAACTTTTAAAGGCTGAACATGCAAATATGTGGGGTGATGTTATGTTAGATTTAAGAAGATTGGCCTGGTTCCAGCTTGATGGTTGTCCAGCTCATTATTCGAGAATAGTTAGAAACTGGCTGGACGAAAATTATCCAGAAAGATGGATCGGCCGTGGAGGACCAGTCGCCTGGCCTCCACGATCCCCTGACCTAAATCCATTAGATTTCTTTGTGTGGGGATTTCTAAAAGAAAAAGTGTACCAGACTCCCGTAACCACGAGAGATATGCTAATAGACAGAATCAGGAATGCATGTGATGAAATAAGGCCTTATTTGAATAATGCTATACCATCATTCGTAGATGTGAATTGTGTATTGAATAATTGGGTTTACATTTCGAGCAACTACTTTAGATTTTGTATGTTTGTCCAAACTATCCAATAGCATTTTAGTTGTAAATAATTAATTTAATTTGTTAAAAATAATATTGGAAAATTAAACAAATTAATATTCTATGCTTTTGTGTTTATTTGGAGTTAGGAATTAATGCTGTGTTTGAAAACAAATTCTAAACGATCATCTTAATTACTTGTAATGCCCAAATCAAAAATGTAAAAAAAAATATTATTTTCCCATAAATAAATAAATATCTCAAAAACGGCTATCTATAACAAAAACTCACAGGAGACCTTTTTTATGCAGAAAAGTGCGAGGAATCATTTATTTTATCCAGAAAGCAAAAACTTGCGCTAAGAAAAATTTTTCGGTCATTTTAATACACTACAGGTACAGTAGAGAGCGCCCTCTAGCGGCTACAGTAAAACTATGCCCATGGTTCGTTTTGTCCAACCAAAAAACCCTTGTATACCAATTTTTACTGTCATATATCAAATATTGTTCGAAATATTAAAAAAAAACTATTTTAAAAAGTAAATTTAAACACCCTGTATTTCTGAAGCCACGCATTTTTCGACCCATGTTTATATAGACTTTATGCATTAATTTTAAAAGTTCTATCGAATCTTAAAGTTATGCAACAATAAACTGAAACACCCTGTATAGCGTGGTTAGTGCTTACAAGCCTGGCTGAGAAAGCGGTGACAGAAATGGATTTTTTTATTATTTTAGGAAAATTTGATGAAGGAAGGACTTGAGCTAGAATTAGAACATAAAGATTTATCTTTTGACGGTAAAACCTGGTTTTTGAAAATTCACCTTCCATGGAAAACGAAAACAAGATATGCTGCTGTAATGGGTATGAAGTTACCGATCAAAAGGTTTATCACGATATCTGTTAAGGCATGGGTAAGTTATAAATTGTACATGTATACAGGGCGTTCAAGAATAAAGCTACAGTCTCTATAATGTTTATACAGGGTATCCAGGATAAGCATCTTATATATGGGGATCTCGATACCTGAGGGAATACAGTTTAGGTTAAATTAGAAAAAAGTTGCGTTCTTTGGGGTGGATTAAAATACCGATGAGAAACTTGTAAAATTTTCGTGGCTCAGTGAGATATTTCGAAAAAAATAAAACATTTGAGAAATAGATGTTTTGAATTCTACAGTTAGAAGATTATATTTATGTGTAGAAAATAAAGGCAACCTATTTGAACACGGATTGTGAATAAAATAAAAATAATTTTAAAAAAGTATTCGTTATTCAGAATATCACTAGATTAAGCATCATTTTATAAACTTTCACGCCATTATATCATTATGTAAGATGTCATATACATCTATCAGTAATCATATAATATTACGATAATCATTTGTTTGCAAATAAAATAAAAAACAGATTTTTCTTTATAACTAAGAAAATAAATGTAATCTGATACATTGGAGAATTTGTAGACAAAGATGCTATCAGGTACACGGTGTACTTTTCTCGGACCATATAAAAAAATAAAGTTGATGATGGTTTCTTAAAAACGGAATGTCCGGCACAAAATTTTAAAGCACCATTATGTAGTGTCTACCAAGTGCCAATGGAAAAGTTGCAATCGAAAAAAGTAAAAACGATTTGGCACCAGTATTCATGAAATTTGTAAATGTTTCTCAACGGCATGTAAATACGCTCCAAAGAATGCAGCTTTTTCCTAATTTAGCCTCAGCTGTATCTCTCACAGCTAATGAGATCCTCATGCATAGGATTCTTACTTTGGACGCACTGCATAATACAAAAATGCCTCTACCGAGATACAGACAACTAAATGATGCGTTTTTATATAACCTTTAGACAAAATTGTAAAATTTAAATTTTGACACTGTATTGAACAGTTGGGGGTCCCATGATGGTGTCCATGTAAAGCAATTCACTCATTTGGATTGCCAGAGAAAGATTAGCCCTGACGCGCTATTGCTGATAATTCTCACACCATGTATAATAATAATACTACTTGCAGGATGACAAGAAAGCTAAAGGTAAAACTGATGACCTCTATACAAAAGTGATGAAATGGTGGAAAACTTTTTTCGAGTATGACCACGATATCATAGCTCCCGAACCTTCCTTCTATGATGCCACAGAAGGGGGAGATAGGGAAGAACAGTGAGTCTTTCATCATTAGTGAAAACATTCGTAAAATAAATTATTATGCTTTCAGATTTGTAGTAAAAGATAGAGTTACTTCCTATTCAAGCGCTCAAAGAAGTTTGATCGTAATGCAGATTTTGTTGAGGGTTAAATTCGACGATACTGATAAGGTAATTATGCGGTGCGATTCTTTATGTTCAAACGGGTAATGTTAGTGAGCTGAAGTTCAGAATGATTAAATTGATGCATGAATGCTCTATTTTAGTGTAAAATTGATAGTTGAAAACTTCAAGATGGAGGCTGGTAGGTCATGTGATCTTTATTTTGAAGCTCCTTATGAGTACTTTATAATCCTGTAGTATAAATTTACGGCTACTGGGTTGTCAAAGTTGAGCATTACTATACATTGAACTGCTTGTAACTTAAAAACTAGTCATTAAAGGACTCTCCGGAAGTGTAATATAATATTAGATATTCCATTCAAAAAATAATGTCAAAAGCTGTCAACTTACATAATACGAAATTTTTGTGGTTACTTGTTGAGTTATAAGGGAATCAGTGTACAAAGGCGCTCAACTTTGGTAGCCTATCAGTTCGTCATTTTTAAAGATAGTGAATTTATGTTCTAGAGTTTTAAAGCACTCATAATGAGCTTCAAAATGAGGTATCATATGACACTCCGTTCTATAAAAAAATGTCCAAGATGGCGCCCTAAGCTAATACATAATCTGAAGCTGAACTAAGAAATTAACAACCTGAAGATTTTAAAGAAATTGCTACAAATGTATGAAGTTTAGCTAGATTTCCTCCTGGAACTCGTTTCACAACACATTTTAAGGGCAGAGTACAAGCTGCCACGTTCATGACTGGTGTGTTCATGGCTGAAAATAAAAATAATAAACCCGTTTTCCATATGAACAAAGAATGTTTTTTCACTTTGCAGGTTGGAATTCGCCGACTTTTAAACGATTACACTTACATAGCTTGTTTTCCTCTACATGAAGGTAGATGGGAAAAAGAAACCAGCGATGGAAAGCTTCTGGATAGGAGGGTAATGCAATTATTAATATTTTGAAAATTCCCAGATAATTATAGTGAAATTTCTTAATACATTTGGGCTCGTCGACTATGTGATGATTGCCATTTCTATTCCAAAGTTCTTTTCTAACTGCATTAAAGCATGTGGTTCATAGACATAAAGTATTCCTCATAAAGGAGGAGTCAAATCACTGTTGCTGGCTAGTATATGCAGAAAATTATTATCGACGAACTAGTCATCTTATAGGAGACAGTCACTAATGGACAGCTGTTTAGAAATTAATTAGCATGGTATAGGCTTGGTCTCTGGAACAACAGGCGAAGCATAACAACATCCCATCCAAGATATGGGATCTATCGAAATAAGTTTTTTTGGGGGAAAAATAAAATCGTTGGGATTTTTGGGGCATTTTATTCGATTTTCCACCAAGCAAAACTGACAATTGTTGGGTACATTTTACTTTTCTGTAGCTTTTTCTTTTTTCACAAAAAACGTACACTGATCCATCTTTACACCTTTGATGTCAACCAGCCTATTGATTCAGCTATTCTTTGTTTCACACACTCGTTTTTGGGAGAAAGAGCTAGACGACTACTTTGCGATGCCCCCAATAATAAAAGTTAAGTTTGGAAAAATTGTAGTTTCAAACTGAAAAATCTCTTTTGATATCAAACTAAATCGTATGTTATATTCAACATAGGGCCCTACAAACTACAGCAGACGCTCGATAATGTAAACTAATTTAATCCAAGTGTCGAAATGTTTACATTAGCGAACGTGATTTATATAATATTTGATTTATTAAAAGAAACGTTTAATACATACTATTTATAACAAAATAAACAAATATTCTAACAGTGATAAGTATTTTTTTAATTAGAAGAAAAATAATTAACAATTTTTGTCTGCGTAAATTTGCGCTTAGCATTGTCTTCCAATGCCTGCGCCCGTAATTTACGAAGAACTAAAATATCCGTGTATGAAACTTCTTTTCTTTCAGCCCAATCTAAAACTTGGTTAAAAACTTGTAAGCTTGCGCGTCAGTCACTACACTTCTGACTTCAATGGGATCGTTCTCATCATCCTCACTGTCCATATCCTCCTCCTTATCAGCATCATTCGTATGCTTATCTTCGTTCCATAAATTAATATCAGCAGGAGTACAAACAATGTTGGGATTCACTGTTTTCAATAAATCAACAACATCCAATGACACACTAATAACATTATCATTATTGGATCGCAAACGTTGTCTAATTACGCTTAAGGGGACATCGTCTTCTTCATCATCTTCATTATTGGTACAAAAGAGATTGTTCCAACATTTTTGAATAGTTTGCTGGTTAAGTTCATTCCAGGCCATATGTAAATCTAAAACAGCTTCTCGTAATGTTACTTTTTTTAAAGCTTCAGATGAGTTTTCAGGATTCTTTGATAAGACAGACGAAAGTAGAAAGTTCCTATAGTATAGTTTGGTGAGTCTTATTATATTCTGGTCCATCGGTTGAATTAACGGTGTTACGTTGGGCGGCATGTACATACGAAAGTTGACCCATCCCTGCTCCTCAGTTGTTGCTCGGGAGGATGACTTGGTGCATTATCCAATAGTAACAACGCATTTATTGGAAGCTTCTGTTGTTTTAGGAAACCTTTTACCTGCAAATTGAAAACACATCTTCAAATTATGAATAGAGCATTTGTGATAATTGATTGTCATACCTGAGGGACAAAGCACCTGTGGAACCATTTCAGGAATATACTGCTAGTCATCCAAGCGGTTTTTGAACAGTCATAATCAACAGGGATATTAACATTTTTAAATGAGAGCGGATTCCGGGGCAGATTTTTCAAATGATGCTGCATAGGTTTTCTCTGGTAACATTTTCCAATAAATTCCACTTTCATCTGCGTTGTAAATTTGTTCCATTCTAAAATCTAGCTCGTTAATTGTTTTCATCAATTTTTCTTTGAATGGTTGCACTAATTGTGGTTGTGCTGATAATTTTTCACCAGATATAGACAGCAGTCGAATTCCATATCTTGTTTTGAATCGTTGTAGCCAGCCATCACTAGCTACGAAATTTTCAGTTTCTTTCAGTTTTTCATTTAACAGTCTCGCTCTCTGTTTAAGTACTTCGCCACTAACTGGGACATGATTTTCCCGTTGTTTTAAAAACCACTTATACAGGGAATTTACCATTTTAGGTGCCTTCGCATTTTTTAAAGTTTTTCGTTCGTTTTTCCGGACCTCCAAATGTATTGCACGTTCTTTGTAAAATTTGAGTTTTCATACGCTTAATTTTACAGATTGTTGCTTTCGATACTCCATATTTTTTTGCTAACTGTGTCACTCCCGCACCTAGTGCAACTTCGTCTATGATTTTCACTTTCTTACTCAACTTTAAACACTTTCTTTTATAGGATGTGGATGCCATAGTAGTAAAATATATTAACGCGTGCAATGTATTCACTTAAGTTCAAAAATGAAATACATATGTACGTATAAACGTATCCTAAACGATCATACGACTGACCGAGTTTGTCGTATTTTATCGCAGAGGTGGATCCCCTACACTCTACATCATAAATCGGGGACTCCCCGACGCCCGACATAAATCATCGAGGCTTCAGCATTTTACCGTCGCGCTGTTTCCTTCCGTGCGCCGAGAGTTGTTTACGTTATCGAGCATACACATTGTTTACGTTATCGCGCGTTCCGTTTGATCCTATAGAACGAAGTTTGTGTTTACATTAGCGCAAGTTTTCATTATCCAGTGTTTACGTTATCGAGCGTCTGCTGTAATTAGCTAGGGGATAATTCACAGGGTTTACGAATAATTTCTGTCTGACATCATAAAGTTGAAAATCACACCTTCGCGGACAGAAAACGCCATCAAACTACCATATATCTAACCCCCCTGAAGAACGACTTGAGGGGATATTTTAGCATAGTTGCAATTATAGGAGATTTTTGCATGTTCTGAGAGAATTCTTTGTGGCCCATCTGGTAACGCTTCCACAGACATCCAACCGTGGATATATGTTTCGTGCTTTTTGGTAACTCATTAGCATTGTCTAAGGCTTGATCTCTGTAGCCTCTGTGGTCAGATGGACGAAAGCAGAATGTTTGATCAATGGCGGATAGACCCCTTCTATATACTACCAGAATCGTCAGCTTCTATGTAGGTGTCAAAGTGGTGACTGTGCTATCAAACGCGAACTGAGATCTTTACGGTTCCAGCTGCTACGCACTCTAGCAGTGGTCGATTCTGGTCATAGATTGCGCTTTATAATGTCTTATTTACATAGATAGAGGTGCTAGATGCGTGTGACGCTACCCTGTTAATGCTGGAATCGCTGAGGCCATGTTTAGTTTGATCGCGGAAATTTATGCAGCTGAAGCACTAAGAAATTTTCCAGCATCTCTGGAAATCGTTTTGAGTTAACGATTCCATGTCCGACGATTTTGATCGGCCCGACTTGGATGCCCAAACGCATCGCTTATATTTGTTTTTGAAGAATATTCTTTTTTGACTTTGCTATTTTTTGCAGTTACTATACCTAGAATGGGCAAGGCCTTCGAAATGGATGAAGCGACAACCCTTGCATTTAGTCAGAAAATATTTCGGCGATAAGATAGGGTTGTACTTTTGTTGGTTAGGATTTTATACGAAAATGTTATTTCCACCAGCTATAGTCGGAACATTGTGCTTTCTGTATGGTACCTTCACTATTGATAGTGATGATAATATGCCAACGTAAGTTCCTCTATTCACAGTTCATCTATCTACATAATTTATTTGTCGGGTGTTTTCACAATCATCAATCAATATTTTACACATACGCGGTCTGTAAATTAGCTGATGAGATTGGCAACGTAGCGTTCGATCTGGCAACACTGGAGGGGCCGGGCTTGGAGGAGAGGCAGGGGAACATGTGATCCGACTTCTGTACAAGGGTTAAATCGCTCGAATCATTTGGTTGTCTGTATGAACGAATTTTTGGCCAGTATATGCATTGATTCCTTGCGACTTTTTTCTCTTCCCGAAGTTGGAAAATCACGTCAAGCGAACTCATTTTGGGACAGCTAAAAACATTCAAACGGCTGTAACCGACCACCTGAAGGTTGTTCCAGTATCGAAGCTCCAGCACTATTATGAGGAGTGAAAGAACCGTCTTCAGCGCTGTGTGACTTCAGAAGGAAGTCATTTTGAGGATGATAATATAAAATTATAATCATATTTGAATAAACATATTAAAACAAATCGGTCTCATCACTTAATTTACTTCGTATCATCGAAGCTTGTAAAAATTGAATTCTACGAATTACGTGCAAAATTGACTCATTGGCGTACAATCGAAGTTTTGAATTTCAAATTGTTAAGCTCACTTGACTTGCAGTAAAGGACATCCCAATAGTTAGATTTAAATGTGCTGTTTTTTCAAAGATTGAAGTTTTATATTCCGGGTAAAATTATTTATTAGACATAATTTTCATACTTTTACATTCTGATAATATTAACAAGCATGTGATTATATTGAAATTGTAATATTTTTTCCAAAAACAAGGTACTGAAGTACGAAATGCTGAAGTCTGAGTTGGGACTCCCAATATTTGATCTCCTAAGCTGTCTTACAATAGAAGCTTCAAGGACATAGACAACTTTTTACTTCTTTCAGTTTCTTATAAATTATCCACGAAGTTCTAATTCGGTTCTTGTGTTTCCAGGAAAGAAATTTGTGATCCGAATGGTCCTGGCAATATCACATTATGCCCTATGTGTGACAAGGCTTGCAAATTTCAAAAATTGAAGGAGAGTTGCAAATTTGCAAGACTGACTTACTTGTTTGATAACCCAGCCACAGTATTCTTCGCAATATTCATGAGTCTTTGGGGTAAGGTTGCAATTTTAACAAATCATCGTGTGTTTTATAGAGGTTCGGTTATAATATCATAGGTTCGTTATGACAGAATTATGTTAACCAGTCACAAAACTTTAGACGCTTCGTTATTTTAGCTAAGTCTGGGCATGGGCGCCCGCAGGAGTTTTTTTAAGGGGGGATTATCGGCAAGAGATAACTTTTGTGAAAGTGTACCTGCCTCCAAAACTTTTTGAACAGCGGGTGGTAGCAAACTTTGCCGGGGGGAGGGGGAAATGATAAAAATCCTCAAAATCTATGGTTCCCAGGGAAAGCGCGGTTCCCTAGGCCTCCTTTTGTGGGCGTCCATGGGCTTGGATAGTATTTTTTTCGGATTTTGGATCAATACGCTTCGATTTACTATGCGTTTGCGAGTACGTTTGTGATATAATGAGAAGGCACCGTTTTGCTTTAACGAATGAATGAATTATGAAATTCCAGGTATACCGGCCACCATGAGTAGCCGGCGCCCCTACATTCCCTCTGAGCCTCAAGCTCCGCCCATCTAGCAAAGTCGAGTATAGCCTTGAGTCTCAGCTCCTTAACATCTGGGGATGCAAAGTGATGGACCTCAGTATAGTCAGCCTGTAGCAGTTCAAAGCCTCACAGTGACACAGGACATACGCCGAGGACTCTTCCTCTACCCCGCAGCGCTCACACATGAGATATTTAGCGTCCATCCTTAACAATGAGCTTCCTTGCCTGACAGAGATGTCTAAGCATGCTTCTCCATTTTTGAGCGTGTTGTTTTGCAATTCGCTTCTCCATTTTCTTCCTGACTCGTTGCGTGGGCACCCCTAGGGCTGGTTCAGGACCCACAAGCTTGCTCGCTGATCCTGCTTTCGCAAGAGCATCCGCCATATCATTGCTCTTTATCCCAGCGTGTCTCGGTACCCACTGGACTGGACGCCTCGCTGCTACACTATCCAGAGCCTGCCTGCATTGCAGCACAAGGCTCCAAGTAATCTTGCAGGCACTTAGTGCCTTCATCGCCGCCTGCATGTGAGAGAAGATTGTTATTCTTCTCCTAGGTCCTTCCCCCTCCAAAATGCAGGATACGCAAGTCAGAATTTCATAGATTTCCTCCTGGAAAATAGAGGCAGAGATAGCCTAGTTCTATACTACAACTATTTAAAACTGTAATGACTCATACGCGTGATCAACACGTGATCAGAACTCGATCCCGGCTTCCTTCCAGTACAGCCGTATAGCGTACGACATAAGTCGTTTCTGTGGCTTTGCGGTGGTCAACAGCACAGACAGAGATGGAAATAATAGCTGATTGTTCTCCGCCGGTAGAACCAATAAAATCAAAGACGCGCCTCGACCGGCAGACTCATAGGCGTCGGCAACGCATTGGAACGTGTTTCGTTGAGCGATCGCATATTGTGTGTTTTTATAGTAATTGTTGTGTGATTGTTATTGTTGTGGTTTCTGTGGTTACTGTTTTGGTTATACTTAACCATGGAGAGTACAAATGGCACGAGTGGAAGTACTGAAAGCCAGGGAACAAGAGACGGCTTCGTAAAGCACTGAAGAGGGACGCGAAAGAAATCGTGCTCAACGTGTTCAATTATCTGAACAGAACTATGTCGCAGGGAGATGCACTCGCGCGTTGTGAAAGTATGACAGGCGTTCCAGAGTGGACCATTCGCAGGGTGGTGCATGAAAAGAAGAAAACTGGAGCTACTACTGATCCAAAGTTTAATTTGAAGGGACGAAAGGCCGTTAAATTGGATGACGATAGCAAAATGGCGTTAAGGCGAACCGTACATTCATTCTTCTTTAGGAATGAGATACCAACCCTCAAGGCTGTACATGCAGCGATCAAGGAAAATGAAATTATACCCCAAATAAGCGTCGAGGTAATGAGGAAATCCCTGCACGAAATTAATTTTCGTTACGAAACGCGTAATCGGAAGTCAGTATTGATAGAGAGACCTGAAATAGTCGCCTGGCGTCGAAAATACCTAAGCGAAATGATTGAATATAGGCGACAAAGCAGAAAAATCTATTATTTGGACGAGACATGGGTAAATGCAGGTCACACAGTTAAAAAATCTGGATAGACAAAAACGTAGTGAGTAACCGACAAGCAAGCATTGAAGGCTTGTCAACAGGTCTTCGTGCACCGTCAGGGAAAGGTCAAAGATTGATCGTAAGTAACTCATATTGGTAGCGATAGTGGCTTTTTAGAAGAGTGTGACTTGATTTTCGTCTCTAAGAAAGGAGGTGATTACCATGAAGAAATGAATGCCAGCTGCTTCGAGAGCTGGTTTCAAGGGGCGCTTCAGCGAGTTGAGCCCAACTCTGTGATCGTCATGGATAATGCTTCCTACCAAAGTCGTCGAGCCGAACGTGTACCGACTATGGGATCTCGAAAAAGTGACATGCAGCAATGGTTGCGCGAAAAAGGAATCCCGTTTAACGATTCATGTGTGAAAGCGGAATTGTATGAAAAAATTAAACAGCACAAACCTGCGAACATTAGTTACGTGACTGATGAGATGGCCCGTCAATGTGGTCTCACTGTGCTGCGGTTACCGCCCTACCACTGTGAACTGAACCCAATAGAGCTCATCTGGGCTCAAGTGAAGGGTTATATTGCGCGCCATAACACAACCTTCAAATTACCAGACGTTAAGGTTCATCGACACCATCATAGAGCCAGTTATAGTCAATTTCAACGAGGAAAGCGATAGCGACAGTTTATTACTGTCAGATGTAAGTGGAAGCGACGATGAATAAAGGTAATTCCCAAATTTTTGACTTACAATATGTTTCAAACCACTCTTTATTAAGCATGTGACAAATCTAGTTCACCCATGTTAAACATTCATACCCCGCCTATGAACAGCCGACTACTGGTAGTTAAGTGATGTTCACGTGGACATCGATGAGTCATTACAGTTTTAGATAGTTATAGTATAGTCCAAAGACTCCGGTGCCAGAGCCGTTTTCAGTGACCTAGTCGTCGGTGTACCAGACCTTCGGAGACCTTCCGCCTTCCGGAATCTCACTCCGCCGTCATCGGATACTTCACATTAGCCTTGCGGTTAAAGCGCTAGTTAGGGATGATCAGATCACTCCTGGTCAGAAGGTCAGGATCTTCGCTTTGCAGTTCGGCACGGGTATCATGTAAAACACCTATACAGCGTCAAAAAAAACCTATAAGATGTCAAAAGGCTCAGCTGCCCACAGTGGTTGTGCGACTACTCTCTCCTTTCCGCGGATCACTAGATCCAACGGTTCGCACTGCGCTTGTAAAACTGGTAAAAACCAAACGCTGAATTTTATTGAGTTTGGCCTTAGTTGTCTCGGTTTCCCTCCAATCCAGGGAGCCATACAAAAGAGTATAGAGCCACTTTGAGTTTAACCCCCAGTCTCACTCTGCAAGCCTACGATGAACTGCCTTATTAAACTTAACATCTTGCTTTGACCTGTCTCCAGCCAAGACAATCGATCTATCCACAGGTGAAATTTTTACGGCTTGCCGCGGTTTATCAAACTTTAGAGCCTGTTTGAGATAGAAATGTTATTTTTGAAATTCTAGCAACCGTATTCTTAGAATTGTGGAGGAGAAAACAAAGGGTCATACAGTGGGAATGGGACTTGCAAGCAACTGAGATAGACGAAGAGCCTAGACCAGGTAACATACAGGACTAGAGTTTATTTTTTAAGATCACAACAACGTATTTATATTTGGATTGCAGAGTTCGAAACGAGTGTCAAAACATGTAGAACTAATCCCGTGACGAGGGAAAAGGAACCTTACTTGGCAACTTGGTCCAAAGCTTTGAGATTGACTGTCACTGGATCCGCCGTATTTTTTATGGTAAGTAGGTTGACTTTTCATGGCTTTTGCCGGGGAATGTGGGAAGGTCCATGATTGGATAGAATTTTGAACCTTCTCGCTATGGTGAAGTATCAAAATGGAAGAAAGTTGTGAAACCCATCGTTAAAGCGGTGTGTCTTTGTATATGTGTACGAAGATCTTAATGTACTGTTAGCATTGGCGTGAACACTCATCGAGTAAGTATCTGGAGGAGCGCCATTATTGATGTATCAAAAACACTGTTTTCACTATTTAAAGTCTAGTTTGTTACTTTCACATTAATTTATCACAACACTTGCAACTAATTCTTTACCATTCTATGACAATGTCGACTGGACTATCGCGTTTCGCGGTAGATGGAGGTCGATGTTTCTCGATGCTTCTCGATGCGAGGTGATCTTACAAGGATATCCCATTGTTACTCAAAGTTCGAGGGCGTTACATTAACCTCTTTTCGTTATACCACATGGCGTCAGGGGGCTGAGCCAAGAATGACTGATTTCTATGGTATTGATACAGGCCTGGCTTAAGTTTCACAAGTTTCACACCTTATATTCCGCCTTTTGTTTGTAACTTTGAAAAAATTCAAGCAAAGAGGATTCTTTATACTTTATTAATCTCCAGCTTCCAGTGGACTTTGCCATCTTCATCAGGAGCTGCAACAACATTGAGAAAAAATAGCAACTATTGTGCAAAATGATATTATACAGGCTGTCCGCAAAGTTGGGGTTTTCCTTTTTAGAAACAACTACCCTTGAAATAACAAAGGTAATGTGTAGTGAAACGAGGGCGACCAAGTAAAACAAAATAAAGGAAAAAGTACTCACTCTCCAGTTGACGAGAAGGGCTAAGTACGTCTCTGCCCGAAATCATACCGCTCCAACAGAAAATGAAATCAGCTGATGCGGTACCGAGCAGTCGCCGGCGGTGGTGCAGACCACGAACACACATCGTGCAGAAACCACATTGATTGTCTTACACTTAATGGCACATCTTCTAACAAGGAAGGCAAAATGTTGCGTAAAAAGTCTAGGTATTGCATCCCGTCCAATCGATTTGGGAGAATAAATGGTCCAATGCCAGCCCAAACATTCACCGAAAATGTTTGTTGAAAATGTGCCCGACGGACAGCGTGCGGATTTTCTACTGACCAAACATGAGTGTTGCGAAAGTTATTCACCCCATTACGCGTGAACGTAGATTCGTCTGTCACCAATATGCACTTCAAAAAGTCCGGATTATTGTCATGTTGATGCAACAACCACTCACAAAACCGCACTCTTGCTGGAAAATCGTCAGGTTGAAGGGCTTGTACACGTTGGACGTGAAACGGATACAGCCCCTCTTCACGCAGCGTTTGCCACACTTTAGTTTTTGATATTTGCACTTCTCTAGCCACGTCTCTAGTGCTTGTTGTTTTTTGAAACGCAATCGATTATACGGGTTCGTTACCTCTACACGCGTGACCGTAACCGTCGGTTGAAGGTTGCATACTGACCTGACACACTGACTCCGACCCAGTTCTGTCGTCGGGTTGAGCCAGTGACATTGTACCACTCCGTGATGTCGCGGCTACAGGACGGTATTCAGATATTTTTGATGTTGCAGAGCCCTTTATCTCGGTTCCCTTAAGACATTGGTGTATATGGTACTAAGAAAAATTGCTTATGTTTTCAAGATCTACACGTCGTGTAAAGGAAAACCCTATATATATATATATATATATATATAACAAAAGGTAGGAAAGTAATGGGTAAAATCCGCAAAAAGGAGGAAAGTGGATTCGAGCAGAAAATAGGATAGGTAACCCGAGCGATACGTATTTCTGCTGGTTGGCTTCATCAGGCCCGAAATGAATGCACATATGAAACTACAAAAGTAGATACACATGCCCACACATTCGGATACGGGTGTAACCTGAGGAAACAAAGTTGGAGGAAAAAAAAACGATACACGAAGTCCACAACAAGAGCCAACCTACACATTGTAGTATAAAATGGCTATACGACCTCGAATTTTCAAGGAGACGTCTAACCACCACTACGCGGCCGGTTATAGCCACTTGCTGTGGTACTTCAAGCCCAAAGGATCTACAAAGAGAATATGATCATGCGGATTTTACCCATTATTTTCCTACCTGTTGTTATATACTTTTCTCAGCTATAACCGGCCGCGTGGTGGTGGTTAGACGTCTCCTTGAAAATTCGAGGTCGTATAGCCATTTTATACTACAATGTGTGGTTGGCTCTTGTTGTGGACTTCGTGTATCGTTTTTTTCCCCTCCAACTTTGTTTCCTCAGGTTACACCCGTATCCGGATGTGTGGGCATGTGTATCTACTTTTGTAGTTTCATATGTGCATTCATTTCGGGCCTGATGAAGCCAACCAGTAGGAATACGTATCGCTCGGGTTACCTATCCTATTTTCTGCTCGAATCCACTTTCCTCCTTTTTGCGGATTTTACCCATTATTTTCCTACCTGTTGTTATATACTTTTCTCCGCATGATCATATTCTCTTTGTAGATCCTTTGGGCTTGAAGTACCCCAGCAAGTGGCTATAACCGGCCGCGTGGTGGTGGTTAGACGTCTCCTTGAAAATTCGAGGTCGTATAGCCATTTTATACTACAATGTGTAAGTTGGCTCTTGTTGTGGACTTCGTGTATCGTTTTTTTCCCCTCCAACTTTGTTTCCTCAGGTTACACCCGTATCCGGATGTGTGGGCATGTGTATCTACTTTTGTAGTTTCATATGTGCATTCATTTCGGGCCTGATGAAGCCAACCAGCAGAAATACGTATCGCTCGGGTTACCTATCCTATTTTCTGCTCGAATCCACTTTCCTCCTTTTTGCGGATTTTACCCATTATTTTCCTACCTGTTGTTATATACTTTTCTCCGCATGATCATATTCTCTTTATATATATATATAGCAATATAGCAATTGAGCAGGCCTTGTTCGATCCTGCATCTGATCTTTATAATGTACTAGGTGGGATTCGTTAATCAACGGTTATGTTAATGACCATCGAAGTACTAGGCTACAATGTTTGTTGGCAATAGCGGACACAAAATAGCACAAGGAAAAGAAATATTTCCAAAAAAAACCTATCTAGTTGTGCAAAACAGATGCATGTCATTTTGACACATAAAAATGTTCCACTTACCTCACAGCGCAATACATTATAATATATCCCTTAGGGATTCCATATCAAAGGCTCTACTACTATCTTCCATTTTGGTACTTGGGTATAGACTAGTAGAAACAGGTAATGATAAATATACATGTCATTACTTATGTTTGCAGTTGTTTGTTGTTTTGTGTGCTGTGTTGGGAACAATAATCTATAGACTGTCCTTAGTCACTGTTATCTATGGAAGCAAATCTCTATTTCTCAAGAAACATGCCAAAATAGTGACTTCAGTGTCTGCTGCAGTCATCAATTTAATCATTATTATGTGCCTTACCAGGGTAAGTTGGTATTTGTTGCTGAATATCACCAATACCACACAACTATGGCACCATAAGTACTGTAAATGGCAACACTGAATGAGTTTTGCCCACCTTGCGCCAATATTCAATATGCGACTAGAATCCTTGTCTTCCGTCTTAATAGCTTTTAACTACATTGCATTTGTATATGATAAAGCAACTATCTAGAAGTATTTTATTTTAAAATGATCAAAGTATCATCTTCACACACCGCAGGGTGAGCAGCACCGAACCAGTGTTGCCAGTTTAAAATGATTTATTGATGTTCTTTTTTAGTTTTATCATAAATTAGCTATTAATCTAACAAATCTAGAGAGTCCTAGGACGCAAACCGAATACGAAGACTCCTATACTTTTAAGATTTTTTTATTTGAATTCATGAACTTCTACTCTTCGTTAATATACATCGCATTTTTCAAAGTAAGTATTAAGTAATTTACATTCAGGTATATATGTTTAGTAGACCTAAGAATAGATCATTTGAGTCTAAAGGTACGCGCCCACCTGTCAATCACTAGTCGCACTGCCATTGCTTAGTTAGAACAGTCCGATGAATCTGATGCGAATTTGTGGGCGCGTACCCTAATAGCCGTTTAGTACTACTTTTTTGTGTGCTGGTATAAGTTGATTCAGGATAGCACCAGTATGTATGGTTTCCAGGGTAGATTTTTCGATTATCCAGGCGATACAACAACAAGACAGTCAGAATTCCTTAGAGTGAAAGGTGACATTTGTGATCCAGCAGGATGTCTCAGCGAACTTTGTATACAGTTGTCTATCATAATGATAGGAAAGCAAATATTCAATAACTTCGTTGAACTGTTCAATCCGTAAGTATCCCAGAGATTAAAACCCACTTACCGTATCAGACTAAAATATGTTCATGGACGTAGCGTAACTTTGCTGGAAACGCCACGCTCGGTGCTAGATGGGTAAAGACCATGGAGGTTAGAACAATCAGTTATTGGGGTGAAATAGGAGATATAAAGCAACGTTACTTTCGTTGATTTCCATTCAAAATTTGACAAAACTAATTCCAGCAGAAAACGATATATAAAACGTTTAATTCTGACATTTATGTCACCAGTCGTATCATACAACATACGAAGTATGTAAATTAAGTGAGACTGGCAACATAGCGTTCCATCTGGCAATATTGGACGCACCCAGCTTGGAGGGGAGACCGGAGAATATGTGATACGCCTTCAGTACAAGTTTGAACTCGCCTGAGTCATTTTGTTGTCTGTAACGATTTTTTGTGCTAAAACAGTTTTTACTATCGTGTTCTAAAAATAAGCGACATCCATTTCAAGCAACGGTGTGCTATCAGGTTTTGCTTCAGACTTTGGCACAGTGCAACGGAAACTCCTGCTAACCAGGCCTACGGAGATAGTGTTTTGTCAAGAGCCCAGGTTTTCAGGCTGCTTATTCGCCTGACTTGAGTCCTTGTGACTTTTTTCTCTTCCCGAAGTTACAAAATTACCTCAAGGGAACTCATTTTGCGACAGTCGAAAACATTCAAAAGGCTGTAACCGACCAGCTGCACGTACTCCACTGCTATGAGGGATGGGGAAACCATCTCTAATGCTTTGTGGTTTCAGAAGGAAGTCATTTTGAGGCTGACAATATGAAATTGTACTTATATCCGAGTAAAAAAAAAATCAGTCCCATCACTTATTTTACAGACCTCGTATTATGTTAGAACGTTGCTATTTTAGTGCTGGTATATTACTATGATGCGGTACAGTGGGCACATGCCTTTAAATGCAATATGATCAATTTACAACGATTTGGAATAATCCATTTTAGAGCAATTTATAATTGGTGGAGAAGGAGGACACATAGATCGAATACAAAAGACTTAACTAGACAACATACAAGATGGGAGGAAGATTACCATTTGCAAGATCCAGGACGTCTGGCATTATTTGACGAATACTTGGAGATGAGTAAGTAAACATGGAGTCAAGCAGATCGACTCGGTACTTCCCAAATACCGATTTCAAAAACACCTTGAATTATTTACCGCTACGTCCTCAGTGATTTTTCTCATCATATCAAATGTCAAAAAACTGGTGTTTCTGAAGAATGTTTACGACTACTCCCTAAAATTATCAGGATCTCGGAAAACATCAAAAGCGAATTTCAGCGATATTTTGAAATGTATCGTTATTTACTGGACTGAATTTCTAAACCCCATAAAGCTTTTTGTACCCTTGGCATGTTAACAATATATTAGTGATGAAGATATAAAAACACAATATCCTGGATTCGATTTTTTTTTCGCGAATTGATGTGGAAAGTAAAAACATTCTACTATACCTTATTCGTAGTCCATGCAGCAAGACAAAGCGGCAGCTGTCTAAGCGTTGCAGCGGCTATTGGTCATTCGGCAATAAAACTAGGAACAAGTGCAGCATTCGACAGGATTGAACTCAGGCTCGCGGTATCGCCGGTACGCGGATGCCGGCAGTTGCTGTTCATATTCGGTGCATACATAGCGTTTGTTCATACGGAAGCATGTCGTCTACGTATACATTAGATGAAATTGAGAATATTTCTCCCAACGCTTCCTTCAGCCATGCTTCCTCTTCTGTGATGTCTCCTCCCCGAGAACGTGACAAGAAGAGAAATTTGAATATTCAGGAAAAAGAAATTGTCCTTAACGTTTATAATAGCGAAATCTTGGAGCATACTTAAGCTTAGATTTGGAACCAACACCTGTTAGATCTCTGCTTGTATTATTATTAGTTTTCTTGAATACTATATGAAATAATCATTTCCAGAAAAAGGAAAACGATTTTCTATGTCACATTGGCAGTGAAGATGGCTTTGTGTCCACTGCCCTTTGGGCATTTAAGTCAAAGAAAACGATCGACTATCATGACGAAATGGACGAGAGCTCATTTGAACGATGGTTTGAAGAAACGCTCCCAAAGCTTGACGAAAGTGCCGTCATTAATAGTAATAATAATAATTAACATCTTTTATTTGAAATATTCTTACAGGAGGCGAGATTTAGATTATATATCTATTCTACCATCTAACCCCCTTAACAATACGAGATGTAAAAAAAAGAATTTGTTAAAAATTAAAGGCACCTGTATACAATAACTACAGAATAAAGTAAAATCCAAGTAAATACATAAGGAAAATATGAGGACACTTATGGGTTACCACAGATTTCGCTGCTGATCAAGAAGAACCTCTTTCACCTTTTTGTTGAATTTGGTTAATGGATTGGTTTCTTTTAAACTGCGGTCTGAAGAATTATATATGATTTGATCGCATTGTAAATGTATGTATTCTGAAATAGAGACGTGCTGTGGCGTGGAATTGAAAAAGTCTCTCTATATCTAATATTAATACGATGCATATTCCCTCTACGTATGAATTTGTTTACTAAATATCACGGTGTTTTTGAATAAAGAACCTTATGAGTCAGATTTAGGAGCTGGTACTTATACATTTTATCAATTTTCATCCATTTGAGTTCATTAATGGCATTCGATATATGATCATATTTTCTGAGATCATTTACAAGTCTGCAACATGTATTCATAATACTTTGAATACGATTTCTTGTTATAATATCTAAATATGGATAGTAAACCACTAAGCAATACGATATCTTTGAAAACACGAAATATTCACACAATTGCTTTCTCGCAGATTTATGTAATATAGCCTTATTTGCAAATAAAACTCTGAAAATAGCGTAGCACTGAGTAATTAGATAGTTCACGTGTGCAACAAATTTTAATCATCATCCATTATAATACCGAGGTTTTTCGAATGATCCACAGGAATTAATTTATTACCTTTTAAATTTATGTCTATGTCCTTTTTTAAGGTATTCTTTTTTGTTCTATTTGCGTATACCAACATATTTGTCTTCAAAGGGTTCAAACGAAGATTATGACTACTACTGAACTTGATTAATCTTATTATTTGCCGTTTCCAAGTCATTACCCTTAAATGAATAGAAAATTTGAGTATCATCTGCAAAAAATTGTATGCTGCATGATTTTATCTCTGTTTCTAAATCTGAGATATATAATGAAAATAATAGCGGTCCTAAGACTGATCCCTGTGGTACACCAGAACAAATTTTTTGTTCCGTAGAGTACTGTTGATTTAGACGAACTTTTTGATACCGATTTTCAAGGTTTGAATAAACGAAAGAGGTTTTTCAGAAAATCCATAATAACTGCATTTAGATACAAGAAGTGAGTGATTAATGGTGTCAAATGCTTTAGTAAAGTCAAGAAGTATGAGAGCTACTGCTTTTTGGTTATCAAGTGCCATTGTTATATTGTCTGTTAAATCACAGAGTGCCGAAGCTGTACTATGACCTTGTCGAAATCCAGATTGTTTAGATGGAATAATTTTGTTAGAATATATGTAGGCGCAGAGCTGCTCGTAAACAACGCGTTCCAATACTTTAGAAAAAATTGGCAGTAGACTGATCGGTCTCAGTTGACCATAGTTAGTAGGATCAGAACACTTAGGTAGCGGAATAACTATAGCGCGTTTCCATTGATTGGGGAAATATCCCCTCACTAAACAGCAGTTTATAATATGCGTTAAGTACAGATCAATTTCAGGTATACATAGTAGTATCATATGCAAAGTGATTACATCTATACCACTAGAATTTGATTTTATTTTATGTATAATTTTAACAACGGTGTCAATAGTCACTTTATTAAATTGAAATTTTAATTTTGAGTTATTTTTATTAGCTCGGTAATATGCAATTTTATCAGCACAAGCCAAATCACTATTCTCGAAGATTGAAATGAATGCCCCATTTATTTTATACGGATCTGACAAGCTCACGGGAATTGTAGAATCTTTCTGAGATTGTACTTTGAAAGTCTTTAGGGTCTTATAAAACTTTTTTATATCCTGATTTTGAACAGCTTGTAAATAATCTCTTTTTCCTTATCGCACGAGCATTAATGCACGATTTCTGAAATTTGTATACTGTTGCCAAGAGGCGGCTGTACGATCACGTTTGAACTTTGACAAAGCTTCAACTCTCTGCTTGAATATAAGTTTAATATTATCATTCAACCAAGGAGCTGGAGCTTTGTTTACACGCACTACCTTTTTTGGACAGTGAACATTGTACTTGATAATGCTGTAGTATACCACACTAGAATACTAGAAAAAAAATCCCTATCACAGCGAATTAAATCCCATTGAAATGATTTGGGCAGATAAAGAAAACTATGTGGCTTCAAACAATAGAACATTCAAATTTTCTGACGTGAAAAATTTGTTTTATCAAGCTGTCAACAGAGTGATGGCAAACCATTGGAAATATTGCATCCGTCACGTTCAACAGACAATCAAAACAAGGATGTAGGATCTGGACAATACGATCGATATTCAAATTGAACCTGTAATAATTAATATTAAACATTCAGACGCTAATTCAGGTACTTCTAGCGAATAAAGAACTGTGAAAAGTATGTGCACTGCTTTCTATAAAAATAATCATTTATTATGTTAGATTATTCCAAGACCATTGAGGAAAATACGGACCTGTACAGTCTCGCTTTTGGGCATGATGTGTTTTGTATGGGCGTAAATGAACTACGAATGGGGTATAGAGGCTTCTCCAACTAGTATTTAAATTTTGTCTTCACGGCTGCTTTGATACCTAAACATGATGCTATCATCCTGATTTCAGTTCTTCAATATGGCTTCGTGACTTTGTTCGTAGCAGCATTTCCGCTAGCTCCTCTGTGTGCCTTATTGAACAACATAGCTGAAATCAGATTGGATGCATACAAAATGGTCACGCAAGCTAGACGACCACTCGCTGAAAGAGTTGAAGATATTGGAGCTTGGTACGGGATTCTAAGGGCTATTACATACGCTGCGGTTGTTTCAAATGTAAGTATGTCACCCCGTAATGTCAATGCTGGTATTCTCCACAAATCCATGGCCGTTTTGCTGCATGATATATCCAGTAAATAGCTTTACCGATGATAGCACTTTGCAGACAGCCATTTACAGTACAGTAGTGGAGAGTAGAATAATCACAATCACTAATTTTTTTTAGGGATTTGTGATAGCATATACGAGCGATTTCATTCCAAGGATGGTATATCAATACAAATATTCTCCAACTGATGACTTGACAGGATATATAGATGCTTCGTTATCAGGTATATAATAATAAAATAAATAAAACCATACTATTCAATTAATCTATTTCAATTTCAGTTTTTAATGTATCACATTATAGTGCAGATGTGATAGGAGATGACGAAGATCCACCAGATACCTGCCAATATAGAGGTAACTTATTATCTGTCAAATCAGCGCGATTGTACAAGGTGATAAGGAAGCCTAACTTCAGGGGTGGTTCAAGAAAATAAAGCTCATATAAACACACGTTCGCAAATGGTCCGTTTTCAAGATACAGGTTATAAAACTTTCTTTAAAAATTAGGTTTCTGGAAAAAATCGTAATAAGCCTTCAACTGATTTTCTTAAAATTTTATGAGATAGATATAGCTTACACTTTTTATCACAAATAGCATATACACATGTAATTTGAATAAAATCATTAGGAAACACGCTTTATTAAAACCGCAAATTTGTCCAAGTCATCTGTTATTTTTTGGCATACAGTTGACCCCCGATAATCCGGCCCCTGTCTAATCTGGCGCCCCCTGTAATCCGACATGTCTTTGAATATTACATACATACGTATGTGACAATCTTCGCTAATGTAGATCACGCAGGTTTGAACAGGTTTCAACTTGTACGCTCCACCGCTATCGTGCTCGACGCGTAAGCATTGTTTTACTTAGTTTGAATTTGACTACTTGTGATAGCGGTACGGCCTAGCGTGCGTTCATTGTTTACTATTTATTCATTGTGTATTAAGTATAGTACCTAGTAATGTCATCACAAACTCAGAAGCGAAAGCACAAAACATTGACAATTAAAGAAAAATGTGATATTTTAGACCGCTTAAATCGCAATGAAACTTTCAGTGGTATAGCAAGTGAATACGGCGTAGGCCGATCTACAATTTATGACATTAATGTCATTTCTTTTAAAAGAAACCACGAGAAGATCAAGAAGTTCGTGTCAACTACTGACTGCGAGCCAGGCAAGAGACAGACACTCAAGAAAGCTGAACATCCAGATGTGAAAGAAGCTTTGTACATGTGGTTTTTTTACAAGGAAATAACAAAAAAAAAAAGATCTTGTGGCCAGCAAAGGATGGCTAGAACGTTTCAAAAGTCGTCACGGCATACGTTTAATGACTATTACAGGAGAGAAACTTTCTAACGATGCCACCTGAATAGAGCGCTTTAAATTAAGATTTTTGCAAAAGGTGAACGATTCAAATATTGACCCGTCACAGGTGTATAATGCAGACGAATCAGGGCTTTTTTGGCGTGTGATGCCTAACAAAACTTTCGCTTCTTGTAACGAAAAATCCATACCTGGACGAAAAGTAAGTAAAGAGCGTGTAACCACACTACCATGTGCTAACGCTGCGGATACACACGCGCTTAAGATGATGGTCATTGGGAAATCTAATAAACCACGGGCATTCAAAAACATTGATTTACCTGTACACTATTACGGTAAAAAAAGTGCATGAATGACCTTTTCAAGAAGTGGTTTGATGAATGCTTCGTACCTGAAGTTAGAAAATGGTTAAAAGATCATAATTTTCCTCAAAAAGCGTTGTTGCTTCTTAATAACGCTCCCGGTCATCCGTCTGAAGAAGAACTAACAACTGAGGATAAATGCATCACTGCGATGTTTCTTCCGCCAAATTGCACTGCACTCATTCAACCAATGGACCAGAATATCATTCAGTTTGTCAAGCAAGACTATAAGAAAAACCTATTTCTGAGAGCCGTATCAAAAGACCAACCAATAGAAAAAACTTTAAAAGATATTAATATGAAAGACTTGGTTTTTGCTCTTTGTCAGTCGTGGAATGCGTTACCGTCATCAACTATTAAATCGTCTTGGAAAAAGTTATGGCCAGATATAGTCACAACTCCTAGCAACCTTCCACAAATCAGTGTAACTTCGGAAGTTATAGAACAAGTCGCTACTGAAACACAGATAAGTCCGGAAGATTTGGAAATCTGGGGCCGTGGAATGGATAAAGAGGAAAATGTTTTTCATGAAATGTCTGACGAAGAGATTATAAAAGAGGTTTCTAATTATACAACAAACAATCAGGAAAATAACGACGACGTCATTGCAACTGCTCCACAAGTCACAGCACAAGACGCAATTGACGCCTTTGAGCTAGGTTTACAATGGGCTGAAGAGAATGGTACATCCTACAATGAACTTTTACTTTTTAGGAGACTGAGGGACAAAGCTCTGATCTCGCGTATATAACAACCTTAAAAAAAAATTGATGAATATTTCCAAGTTTCATAATTTGATAAATTCATTAATGATTTTGATTAATAATTCTTGATTATTTTGGTACATATGTATGTGCATTTATGCTTAATTTTATAATAAAACGTAAGCTCTCTATTGTTATTTAATTTACTAAATTCGACATACATAAGCTATGTATGATTTGTACTCCAACGTAACTACATACATATACATAATATATACATATTTGGATTTGTATATTAATGACGCGTTTCTCTCAACTGATTTACCTAAATCTTTGTCAGTTAAATTTCAAATTCAAGTTAATAAGCTAAGGAGCTATTTCGATTTTTATGAAAACCAATTTAGAAAAAAGCTTGATAATTTGTATCTCGAAGACTAAACATCTAGTAACCAATGTTGTTATAAACTTCTTTCGTTAGAATTATCCAAGGACTCAATCCTTAAAGTTAGGTCAGGTACTCTATTAACACCTTGGATATACAGAATAATGTTAAAATTACACACTTATGTCCGCATACTGTTGAATAAACTGACCTTTGTTGCTAAATATGAAACTTACTCAATATTCTTACGTTGATGCTTCTTATTCCAATTTATAGGGTATAGGAACGGACCAAACGAAACAGATCCATATGGATTGAGTCCACAATATTGGCACGTATTTGCCGCAAGGCTTGCATTTGTCGTAATTTTTGAGGTAAGTAGATTAGGAAATCTGCCGTTATTTGTATGTACAGGGTGCGTCATCTATTACTTTTTTTTTCTATTTGAAGAATCAACACGCTTTATACGAGGTGAAATCGAATTTTTTTATTGATAAATGAAGGTTAGTTTATGTCATTTATGGATGAAAAATAACATCAGTCATGTGACCACCGCGGCTTCGTTTACAGGCCAACATCCGAACATCAAAATTTTCAATGACTTTTCCCAGAATAATCGGGTCTATGGCCGCAATTTAAGTCCGAACATTGCGCTTTAGGTCTTGAATTGTCCGGGGACCATTCGCATACACTTTTCCTTTCAAAAATCCCCAAAGAAAATAATCAAGAGGTGTTAAATCGCACGATCTCCGGGGCCAACTGACATCTGAATTTCGTGAAATTTTGCGGTTTTGAAATTTCGTGTGCAATAAGGCGATTGTTTGGCCAGATGTGTGAGACGTTGCTCCGTCTTGATGAAACCAAAGATCGTCGGCACCAATACGATCCAATTGTAGCCACAAAAAGTCTGTTAACATGCCGCGATAACGTTCCCCGTTGACGGTAATGGCCTTTTCTTCAAAGAAGAATGGTCCAACGATGCCACCAGCTCATAATCCGCTCCAAACAGTCACTTTTTCAGGATGGAGAGGTTGTTCATGATATTGGTGTGGATTTTCAGCTCCACAGAATCTGCAATTATGTTTATTTACGTACCCATTGAGGTGAAAATGAGCCTCATCAGAAAAGAGCACTTTGGTCGAAAATCCGTCTTCTCTTTCCAGCATCCAATTGACAAAAACACGCCGCTGTTGATGGTCTGCCGGCTTCAATTCTTGTGTTAGTTGAATTTTGTATGGATGGAGGTGTAAATCAATGTGTAAATTCCGACGTAAAGTGGTCTCACTAATTCCCAATTGTTGCGAATGGTGCCTAGTCGAGGTGGTTGGATCATCTCGCACACTTTCACTCACTGCGGCTATGTTTTCACGAGTACGAGCTGGACGAGCATTTTGGTATGATCTACGACCTTCAGCTGAACCAGTTTCCTCAAAATGATTAACAATCCAACGAATTCCAGGCTCTGTAGGGCGTCCATGTCGGCCAAAACTAGTGCGAAGTTTGCGAAAAGTATTTTTTATATTTTGACCTTTTTCGTAATAAGTTTGGATAAGCAAAATGCGTTGTTGTGTTGTAAACGAATCCATGACTATAAATAGCATACCTTTGACAGTTCATTAATGGATACCACATGACTTTTGACTCACATGGTAACACATAAACTTATAGGTAAAAAAAAGTAATAGATGGCGCACCCAGTATAGTTGTCGTAGTAATTGCCCATTCATCGACTATTTCATGAAATGGTCGCTTTTCATGAAATGAGCAATTTAAAACCATATTATTAAATCGCCAACGTTTAACGATTCGGTCATCCACGATTGACTCGAGTACTTTTTTGTCGTAGTGTCTTTCGGTCTCACTTCCTTCCTCACTTAGCAACGAATTACTGGAATTTTCACCTCGAAAAACAACATTGTCTTGTCTCTACCGTCAATTAATGCAATCATTTTACAATTTGATCAAGTAATCTTGCCCATTTTATGAAGTAGTCGATTTTGTCAATCATAAAGGTAAACGATTTGTTATTATTGACCGAGTCAACGCACATGATGATCAGGATAATGCATAATAATATACGAGGGATGTCTTTTAAGTTTTGCATATAGAAACATAGTAGGCCGCGCGGATCGAACGTCAGTACTGAATCTTAACCTCACTCTTTAGTAAACTTAAATTCAAAGTTTCACAACAATACGTGCAGTGTTCTCACTACAGTGAATTTTTAAGTGTCACCAAGTCATTAGAAAAATGGAACTCAACCGAGAACATTTTCGCGCCATAATTTATTACAACTTTCAGAGACAATTATCGCAACAAGAATGCCTTGCTGAGTTACTGTTTGTTTTCGGCAACGAAGCGCCACATCAGTCGACAATTTCCCGTTGGTATGGAGAATTCAAACGTGGACGGGTGAGTCTTAGCGACGATCCCAGGGTGGGTGCGCCAAAAACGTCAGTCACCCAGGAAAACGTCGATGCTGTGCGCAAACTCGTCATTGAAGTTAGACATGTGACATATCGCGAGATTGAGCCGTCCTTGAAGATCTCAAAGACCTCAATTCAAAAAATTTTACATGAAGAATTAGGAGTAAGAAAATTAGTTTCTCGTTGGATACCCCTCTTGTTGACTGAAGAGCAGAAAGCAGCCAGGGTTAATTGGTGTCAAAAAACGCTTGACCGTTTCAATTCCGGAAACTCAAAAAATGTGTACAGCATTGTTAGTGGTCCTGAATCGTGGATTTACTGTTATGAATCAGAAAATAAACGTCAGACGGCTGTTTGGATGTTCCAAGGTGAAGAAAAGCCAACAAAAGTCATCCGTTCTCGAAGTGTTTCGAAAAAGATGATCGCGACATTTGTGTCAAAAGCGGGTCATATTGCAACAATTCCTCTTAATGAGAAAAGAACTGTTACTGCGGATTAGTATACCACCATTTGTTTGCCAAAAATCATCACCTAGCTTCGAAAAATTAATCCCGAAAAAAGGATCATCCTCCACCAAGACAATGCAAGCTCGCACACAGCCCAAAAAACAAGGCAGTATTTAACGGAAGAAAACGTGGATTTATTGGACCATCCTCCATATAGTCCCGATCTAAGTCCTAACGATGTCTTTACTTTTCCGAAAATTAAAATCAGACTGCGTGGTCAAAGGTTCCAGTCACCAGAAGAAGCAGTTGACGCATTCAAAAATGCCGTTTTGGATCTGCCAGCAAGCGAGTGGAATAAGTGCTTCGAAAATTGGTTCGAGCGCATGCAGATGTGTATTAATCTTCGTGGAGAATACTTCGAAAAACAATAAAGTCATTTAAAACTACCTACCGTGTTGTTTTATTTCCATTTGCAAAACTTATTTCGTGAAATGCAACCATATCATGAAATGCTCGATCATTCCCTGAAATGGATAATTTCAGAATGTAGCCACGTCAGAGGTAATATGGCAAGCAACTAAACTTTGTTTTTAATTTTTAGCACGTCGTTTTTGCATTAGTTGGAATAATGCAGTATGTGATACCAGACGTTCCTTCAGAGGTAAGGGTTGCTAAGCATTTATAAATAGATTTCTGTCAGTACCCCAAGATAAAGGCAGGAGAATTTTCGAATGAAAACGTACTCAAAGGCCAAACTTGTTTTCTCAAGGCCTAACGGATGGTAGTTTTCATGGGTTGATAAGAAAACGCAAAGAAAAAATGCATCCTATAAGCTACTTCTAAGCTATTCATCCTTCCCGGTATTCCACCTGCCAAAACCCATAATTACTGGACTAATGGTCAACTTGTACGTATATGTCTGATATGCAATGATATTTTTAGTTGAAAACCCAAATGCAGCGAGAAGCGTTACTTGAAAAAGAAGCTAAATACGAACACGGTTTGAAGAAAAATGATTACGATTATGATGAACTTTTAAGTACCTTGAGGGATAACAACAATGCGTCAAGGGGAGGAGAGAGAGTAGGTTAGTATACAGAGTGTTATTACCAATACTACATAATATACTAAGTGACATATAAATCCGAACACCAGTTTAAATGGTTTTATTTTAATAAAAGTTGGTGAATGTATTTATCTTACTGCAAATAACAAGTGAAAAAATTTTCAGCCTTATCAGTTGGACATTCCGGTTTTTATACTGCTTTTTTTTAATCACTAACGCTCTAAAAATGAATATTTCAGCCGCAGTAAAGAATCAACGTTGGCGGATTTTGGTTCTTGATATCCTTTACGATCGGTTACGATGCCTAGAGTACGGAGACCTGTACGATTTCGTCAACTTAGTGAGTTTGATAGGGGCCGTATAGTGGGACTTCGGGAAGCTGGACTTTCTTTTCGGGCAATTGCAGTTAGAGTGCAAAGAAGTGTAGACACTGTGGTTAGGTGTTGTCAGGCATGGCTTCGAGAAGGCCGTACGCAAAGAGCAAGGGGCACTGGACGCTGCCGTAGAACAACAGACCGTGAAGATCGCCGCCTAAGATTATTGGCCTTAAGGGACCGTTTCTCCACTACCAGGTCCATTGCAAATGAATGGTTTGCAGAACACGGAAGACCTATTGGCATGCGAAGAGTTTACCGACGAATGAGAAGTTTTGGCTTGTTTTCATACCGGCCACACTGGTTCCTCCCTTTAACTCGAGAACACCGACGTAATCGCCTTGAGTGGTGCAGACAACGGTCACTCTGGGATCAGGAATGGAACAGTATTGTCTTTAGTGACGAGTCTCGATTTTGTTTAGGCATGCACGATGGTCGTACCAGGGTTAGAAGGCGACGTGGTGAAAGGAGGAATCCACAGTTTTTTGTTGAAAGACATGTTCATGACACTGTTGGAGTTATGGTTTGGGGTGCTATAGCTTATGGTTCCAGGTCACCTTTAATCTTCATCAGAGGTAACATGATCGCGCAGCGTTATATCCACGAAGTTCTAGAACCCCATCTTTTACCCTATCTTGACACCCTGGCAGATCCAACTTTCCAACAAGATAATACCCGACCACATGTTGCAAGAGTCACAATAGACTTCTTTCAACATAATGATGTCACATTGTTACCATGGCCACCAAGATCTCCCGACTTATCCCCAATTGAGCACGTGTGGGATATGATGGGTAGGAGATTGCTCAATTTGCAACGTCCTCCTCAGACTCTAGAAGCACTTCGAGAGGAGTTGGTGGTTGCCTGGAATGAGATACCACAGGAGGACATTGATCACCTGATCAGAAGCATGCCTAGGCGCGTTGGAGAATGCGTAGCACATCAGGGTGCATCCACACATTATTAAAGGTCAAAGGGCTTTAAAGCAGTGCAATCATTTTGAAATTTTTATCATTTACTTATTATGCTTCATTAAGTACTTGTACAAAATTTTATTAAAATAAAACCATTTAAACTGGGTGTTCGGATTTATATGTCACTTAGTATATGTTAAAATTATCTTGCTTGTCATTATCCATCTTTTCTATGGTACTTTTCGATACAAACCAAAAATATAAAAAAGCAGATAGTATAGTATAGTAAGAGATACGAAGTCGCTTAAATGGGAACTAAGATGTATATTTAGGTACTAACAAAATGCTGCTTAGAAAGTTTAGAAATTCAAAGTGACTTTGTAATGAGATTTTAAAATAAATTGCACATTAACGTTGCCATTTTTTCACTTGTACAAGATGGCACACTTAGAATTTCAATATGACGTTTCGTCTTTTATCCTCCAGCATCACCTTTAATTTTTATTACGGATGCCATATTGGATTTCCACAGATGAATTGAGTATTTCATTGTGATTCCAAAAATGCATAATACGTCATACATGTCAGACCTTAGTTGTTTCAAAAACAGCAGCCTTCCTCTTTCACTTGAAATGCGATTTCAAAATAATTTGCATGTATCGTTGTTAGTTATTCTCCTAATCAAATTTTCACTTCGAGATTTCTTCTTTCGACTTCCATCACCAACTTTGTCTTTTCATATGGACCCTATATTGGAATTTTGTGCACTTCTCAATTCGAAATGCAGTGATGTATTGTTTTAGTTAGCCATGCATTTGTTGTTCGATGTAAATTATAAGGAAATAAAAAGCGTTGGTGGAACCTGAACACAAAATAAAAATTTTATTGATGGTAATAATAATAATAATCATAAATTAGCAGAGCATCATAGCAGATGTTCAAAATGTGGTTCGCTATTTTGTAAGCAAAGCCTCTGCTCTGTACATTGTGCACTGCTCGCTTTATTTCTTTTCTTCTCGATCTCTGTTACTATGTTCAATTTGATGTCTGGTCTGGTATAAGAAATGAATGACTAACTGATAATTTCAAGGCCTATCTAGGAATTTCTCTTTTTCTGGAATAAGTAAGGCTTGGCAATGTGAACTTATAACATTTTTAAAACTATAACCCAAAACTCCATTTATCTGAACAAAAATTTAGTACGGTTTCTTGATGCTGGAGGTCAAGAGACGAAACGCCATATTGAAATTCTAATTATGCCGCCTTGTAGAGGAGAAAATGTGGCAATGTTAAAATGCAATTAAAAAAAAACGCTACAAATAAAGCCAGAAAAAAATTAAGACTCTTTTGGGAAAATTCGGTTTTTCTGTCTCTCTCCGCAAGTACATTGAATTTCGAAACCTTCTAAGCAGCATTTTGTTGGTTACTTAAACACGCAACTTTGTCCTCATTTAAGCGACTTCGTATCTCTCACCGAGATCTCAATGGTGAGGGTCGAATTTGAAACACCCTGTATATTGAGTAATTGTTGAATTTTTTCTTCAAAATTGAAATAAATGACAATATCAAGGAGAAATTTTTTTTCAAGTTTGTGATCCTCCCACTCACTTATGAGTGGGCGGTCTTTAGTCCTTTTGACTATGTGACATTTTTTACTTTTCTACAGGTATAAAAGGTTCTTGGGCAAGACGACTAAGTAGATTGTCGAATGGCTTGGACGCTCATGTAGAAGTCGTGAGTAGAAAGAAGCCTTCTGATAATACGACAGTATGGGAGTCATCTTAGTGAGATATCACCAGAATGTATCTTTGCTAAGCGTTAAGTTTTTTTATTGTATTAAATAAATGTTCGTGGTTTTCCAATATCTTGTTTAAATATGCTGTGCCACTTTTTTTAAACGCCATTATCTAAACTTACTTCCATCCAGATCATGGATATCCAAAGATTTTTGAAAATCCACTCGTAGAAAATCTCAGGATTATATAAATATGATTCTCCAGATATCGTGAAGTGTCGTGGCGCCGATTTTGAGGTACAATATATATTGCCGGATATTTTTTTCATAAGAAACCTCAAACGCTGTTATGTGTTATGATCACAAAAAGGAAATTGCAAATTTTTGGTTCGGAAGTAGTGTGGCACCTATCGTATTTTCTAAACCTAAAGCTAGCAGAGTTCCATTGTATTGGGTTCTGTAAATACGAGCCCCTTCCCACTTCAGTTGGCCCACTTCAAGATTTGTACCAAAATATGCCTTTATAAACTAAACATGACGAAACTATTTACTTCTAAAACAATTTATTTTCTCAAAAACATTTTAGATACACTCTAGTCGTAAAAAATACATATTTGAAATCACTTAGACCTATAACTAATAGAACATCTGAACAAATAAACAATGTGCCAATAAATGCGCGAAGTTAACAAAGCAACAATTGAAAGATTACCATTGGGTAACATCACCTTTATTTTTTATTACGGCTGAAATTCTTTGGGGCATAGTGTTAACCAAGTTTGCGCAAAAATTTGGTGTAAAACAATCCCATATTTCTTGAAGCTTTTGTCTCAGTTCGGTGATTGTACCAGCAGAATGTTGTCGTAGAACCTTTTTCATCTCGTGCCACAAAGTTCCAATAGGTGACAGATCTGGACTGCTACCCATTTCAAAAGTGGTACATTATTTTCTCCCATCCATTTTATAGAATTTTTTGAGGTATTGCACGCTGAACCATCTTGCTGAAACACAAAATCTTGGCCTTCCATCACTGGTAAAAGCGATTCTTCTAAAATTGTCAAATATTTGTTTGTATCCACATTTCCATCAATAAAATGAAGTTTTCCTACCCCTTTTGATGACATACTGCCCCAGACCATAATGGATGCTGGAAATTTTACTTTTCTCTTCAGACAGTCAACATGGAATGCTTAATTTTTTTTGCGAATAACTCACCAACACAAACATCGAATCGGGCCTCATCACTCCATTGCATGGCACACCATTGTTGAGGTGTCCATTGTCTATGTTCTAAGCCGATTTTTCTTTTGCAGTGGAGTTAATAGTCGCTTTTCTTTGGCCTATAAACAAGTTGTGCAACTTTAGGGTTTTTACTTCACTTTTTTTTATAAGAAAACCTACCTTGCAAGTGCTAAATCCCAGTTTGTGGGCCTGTCTATGAGTTGTGGACCTCGAAATTCTCCTTCCAACAGCGTGACTCCACAGAGCACTTAATTGTAAATAATTGGCACGCCTCTTTTTTACGATTGTTCTTCTTAATGCTCTTCGGTCGGCATTTATGATATTACTTTTTTTCACATATCGTGGCTTAATATTAACTGAACCAGTTACGTTATATCTTCTAACAATATTTCTCACACTGTACAGCGATACCTAAGTCTAACAAAGTTGCAATTTCTGAGTTTGATTTCCCAGAATTAAAAAATTTAATTATCAGTAACCGAATTTTCTTACTAATAACCTTTCCTCTACCCATTTTGAAAACCTTAACTACCCAAAACTATTTTAAACGTATTCTGACAGCTGTGATTAATAGAAACAATTGTCATGGCTTTTATTTTTTACAGCCACCTATGCGTTATAGACTTATTTTGCATTGAAATGAAAATAGGTTGATATGCTGTAATTGCAACATGTGTTATTTTTATTGCTACAAATTTGATTAGGGGGTGATAAAGTTGCTGTTTTCTACTATATATTATCAAAATATTCATTGTTAATATTTTAAACCTATGACACCCTGCTACATTTTTATTATTTGTGTTTGATAAGAAAAAACTAGGATTTCAATAGTTGGGCCAACTGAAGTGGGAAGGGGCTCGTAATCTTGATGGACAAATATTCGACTCAATTAAGAGTATCTGAATTTATCTTTATGGTTTTTTCAATATAAGTTGAATTTTAAGCAAGCGGTATTATACAGAATTCAACATATTGGAGAGATGGTTATATAGTTAGATGGTCAATGTATTCTTGATTAAATAAATGTCTTTTTTTAAGTATGGATACTGTTCACTTTAATATCGGCAAAACTGTTTCTCCATTCTAATATTAAATACATATTTCAATAATTTCAGTGCTACTTATTTTTTGAGTCAAGTCAGACAACTGAAATTCAGGGCAATAAGGTTGTAACTTGGATTCTATGTTTTAGTGTGGAAGCGGTAGTTGGAAACTTAAAGATGGAGGCTGGGCGCTATTTTGAATATTTTTTAATGAAATGAAGGGTTATGTTACACCGTATTTGGAAGTTCCTTATGAGGAATTTGTAATTCTATAATACAAAGTCACTATCTTCCGAAATGATCGCAAGCTGTCGAAGTTGAGCGTTTATATACCACGAGTCGCTTATATCTTAAAAACCGATCATCAAAATCCTATACGATATACTAATATTCTTCCCTTGGAAGGGTCTATCGGAATTTGTAAGAAAATATGATACATTGCATTAAAAAGGTTGTGAAAAAATCGTTAATTTTTTTTTAAAGGAATATCTCATATTTTATAGCACATTCAGAGAGACCCTTTCAAAAGAAAAAGACTGATGATATTACATACTATAACGTTTTGATGATTAATTGTTGAGTTATAACCAAATCAATGTGCAGGGTGGCCAATATACAGGGTGTTTCAGTTTATTGTTGCATAACTTTAAGATTCGATAGAACTTTTAAATTTAATGCTTAAAGTCTATATAAACATGGGTCGAAAAATGCGTGGCTTCCGAAATACAGGGTGTTTAAATTTACTTTCTAAAATAGTTTTTTTTTAATATTTCGAACAATATTTGATGTATAACAGTGAAAATTGGTATACGAGGGTTTTTTTGTACGACAAAACGAACCATGGGCATAGTTTTACTGTAGCCGCTGGAGGGCGCTCTTTACTGTACCTGTAATGTATTAAAATGACCGAAAAATTTTTCTTAGTGCAATTTTTTCCTTTTTTAATAAAAAAACCGGTTCTTCGCACTTTTCAACATAAAAAAGCTCTCTTGTGAATTTTCGTTATAGTTAGCCGTTTTGGAGATATTTCGATTTTTAAGGTTCAATGCATTTTTAATTATTTATGGGAAAATAATATTTTTTTTTACATTTTCGATTTGGGCATAACAACTAATTAAGATGATCGTTTAGATTGTGTTTTTAAACACGACAATAATTCCTAACTCCAAATAAACACAAAAAACAGAATATTAATTTGTTTAATTTTCCAATATTATTTTTAACAAATTAAATTAAGTATTTACAACTAAAATGCTATTGGATAGTTAGGACAAACATACAAAATCTAAAGTAGTTGCTCGAAATGTAAACCCAATTGTTCAATACACAATTCACATCTACGAACGATCGAACGTGGTATAGCATTATTCAAATAAGGCCTTATTTCATCACATGCATTCCTGATTCTGTCTATTAGCATATCTCTTGTGGTAACGGGAGTCTGGTACACTTTTTCTTTCAGAAATCCCCACACAAAGAAATCTAATGGATTTAGGTCAGGGGATCGTGGGGGCCAGGCGACTGGTCCTCCACGGCCGATCCATCTTTCTGGATAATTTTCGTCCAGCCAGTTTATAACTATTCTCGAATAATGAGCTGGACAACCATCAAGCTGGAACCAGGCCTTCTTAAATGTAACATAACATTATCCCACGTATTTGCATGTTAAGCCTTTAAAAATTCCAAGAAGGTCGCAGCATTTAACCTTGCAGGCAAAAGGTAGGGTCCAAATAGTCGATTATGGTAGATACCAATCCACACGTTCACACTAAATTCATACAGAAAATTTCTTTCCCTACGCGGATTTTCATGCGACCAAATATGTTGATTATGAAAATTTACCACTCCACGTCTAGTGAAGCATGACTCATCGGTCCATAAAACGTTACTTAAAAACTCCCTATTATTTTCAATTCTATCAAGAATCCACTGACAAAATGTGATTCTTCGTTCTCCGTCCCCTGGCTGTAGTCCTTGCACAGGTTGCAAATGGTAAGGACGTCTATGGTCATTTCTAAGAACACGGTGAACAAGGCTTGCTGAAATTCCCAAGGCACCAGAAACTCTCCAAACACTTGTGGTCGGATCTCTATCAAACTCTCGCAGAATCATACGGGTAAATCTGCGCTGACGAACATTTATGTTTTGATCCCTTTGGAGATTTCCAAAACCATTTTCAATTATATGGAGATGCACTCTTACAAATACTGAGCGAGTTGGATGTCGTCTGTTTGGAAATCTTCGTGCGGATTCTCTGGCTGCTTCTGCTGCGTTTCCATTTACAAAGCCATACATAAAATGAATATCCGCTAACTCTTGATTGGAGAATAAAAATGGCATTTTTATAAAACTTACATTAAAAAACAGGCAAAAGAAACTAAATTTCGTGCATTCACAATTGCAAATAAACGTTTCAGGTCTCAACAAACAACAAAACTAACTGTCAACTAATTGACGTTTAACCTTATTCTGCTTTCAATTTCAAAAATATTTGCAGGCACAGCCTACTTCTGAAAATTATCGAGATACTGACTTTTTAACGTTATTTTATCATAAATAATTAAAAATGCATCGAACCTTAAAAATCGAAATATCTCAAAAACGGCTAACTAGAACGGAAATTTACAAGAGAGCTTTTTTATGTTGAGAGGTGCGACGAATCAGTTTTTTTATTCAAAAAGCAAAAAATTGTACTTAGAAAATGTTTTCGGTCATTTTAATACACTATAGGTACAGTAGAGAGCGCCCTCTAGCGGCTACAGTAAAACTATGCCCATGGTTCGTTTTGTCGTACCAAAAAACCCTTGTATACCAATTTTCACTGTTATACATCAAATATTGTTCGAAATATTTAAAAAAACTATTTTAGAAAGTAAATTTAAACCCTGTATTTCGGAAACCACGCATTTTTCGACCCATGTTTATATAGACTTTATGCATTAATTTTAAAAGTTCTATCGAACCTTAAAGTTATGCAACAATAAACTGAAACACCCTGTATAACTGACTGATTTAAATTACGCGCCATTTTTGATAAAAGCATTTCAGTGGGTGGCGCCGTAGTATTTGTTTAAAGCACATGTGTCCAATTCATCAAGGAGCGCTACACGATCTCACAACGCGTCCGTATTGTTAAAGCGTTTTACTTAAATAATGAGTGTTCGAACTGTTCGTACTGCGGAAAATGTCTCCTGACTTTTTTATGAGGATTTTTGAAAAATAGGTTTTATGCCAACAAACCAAATACTATAGAGCCAGCAGCTGAAAAACAATATTACGGAAGCGATTGAAAATATTCCTCCCGAAACCTACCAAAAACTGATCGAAAATGTAATCAAGAGGGTCAGGTTTGCGCAGCTTCTAGAGGCGGACGTTTGTCTGATATTATTTTTCATACATAATTTCTAAGCTTCAACAAAAGATCAAGATCGTAAAAATGGACGTAATTTATTTCATTTCACAAATATTCAAGAGACAAGCCAGTCATTTACATATCGACCACCCTGTATAAGAATGCTCAAATTTGACAGATTCTCAGTCCGCCATTTTGCAAGACAGTGATTTTACATTCTATCAGTACGCATAAGTATCATTAGAATAAGATATCACTTGATCCCTTATTCCATTAAAAAATGCCACAAGCCGCCAGATTGGGATCTTCAAATGGTACGTCAACGTTAAATAGTTATTTACTATTCGTTATTTGTTTGTCTGGGCGGTCCGTAGGACATTTGCCCATTAGTCACTGTCTAATGTACGTTAGTCGAATCTGTCAGTACTGGTTGTCCAGAAACCAGACAATGCCAAGGAAAAAGAGAAAGGTAAAGTGAAGAAAAATGGAGAAGAGCAAAGAAAAACAGAAGTGTTTAGTTTAAGAGGAGGAACCTAAGCTTTTTGACTTGGTACACGGATTAATTTTGAGGTGACCCAAACAAATTTTGATTCGTTTTTGTTGAGTGTAATTTTAAGTTTACTAAAAGCTCGCGCTAATTTTTGATTACAGTGAGAGCCATGGCCTTGAATGTTTACGAACTTGCTCGACTGTGTAGTCCACTGAGTCGCGCAACAGAGGGCTGCTGTGCGATTCCGGTTGACTATAACGTCGCTGCGCCTGAAGTTTGACATAATTCCTCAAGTAAGGAATGTCACGGTCTCTGTGTAGTGTCTCGTTTGAGACATACCATGGAGCGTCGCAAATTGTTCGCAAACTTCTACTTTGCAGTACTTGAAGACTTTGCATATGTGTCTTGGCAAGAAAACACCAAGCCGCACATGCATAAGTAATGGCTGGTCTAATAATCATTTTATATAGGCGAACTTTGTTTAGCAAACTCAATTTGGAGGATCTACATAACAAAGGATATACTTGCCGAAACGTAATTTGGAATTTTGTTTTCAAGGCTGCTGTATGTTTCTGCCAGGTCATGCCTTTATCAAGGGTGACACTGAGGTACTTGGCAGAATTTGTCCATGGTACACGATTGCCGTCTACAGAGACCTCTGCTGGGGGGTCGCGACGTTTTTTGGTACAATAAATAACCTGGCGTTTTCTAATGATTAGTTTCAATCAGCCACCGTTCCGCCCACTCTAGTATTTCTTCCACCGCACTCTGCAACCCCTCGTGAACTAGATCACCAGTACACGACTGGGCGACAAGTGCAGGGTCGTCAGCATAGAGGTAGACTTCACAGTTGCTGGGGCAAGGGACATCATGGATAAAAAGCGAATAAAGGATTGGTCCTACGACCGAACCCTGAGGAACACCGGCCCGTACTGGCCGTGTTGTTGACAAAAATAGCTATTTATTATACAAGGGACACCATTTTTTTCTGTGACGGGAAAAACGACGATTTAATATTATCACAATATTTGAGTCAGAAAATTATCAATGTGAAATTTAAATTTTGAAATTAATAGGCTATTTTGTACTTATAGCGACAATTAGACCTTGCTAAGGAAGCGTTTAAAGTAATCAAAGAGCTGTCAATTTAATTTTGTAATTTGATTAGAAATCGTGAACTTAGTGGTTGTTTAGAAGTTATTTTTAATACTATAAAGTGAAAAATGTCTGATTTCGAGTTGCCATTGACTCCACCGAAATTAGTAGAAGTAGCCAAAGTAGCGTCACAAAAATTATGCCAGCTAAATCGCGGCAAATTTACGAAACAATATCCGGGAAAAAAGTACTCATTTTTTCCGGGGGAAAAAAGTAATAACATAAAAAGCGACATTTCGTTACCTGTCAACAAAGATAAGATGTCAAACTTTTTTCCGTCACATAAAAAATATATTTTTTCTGCTGTTCCCTGTTGTTACCAGGCAAATGAAAATTGGTACACATAAGAAATTTTGGGCGCTGAGTCCGAATTTAATCGTCAAGGAATCGTAGTGTCAAACAATTATTTCTCCTTCCCCAGCTTACGAATAATTTTAATACTCAATATAGACCAATCTGCTGATTCAAATTTGTAAGACCGATCTTCCAATACAACGTATTTATTGTTGAACGTTATTCTTTTATATAAGCTTCGATCACAAATATTTATGGGCAGCGGCACGTAACTGAAAAAGTGACATTATGCCGATTTTTTTTGACATTATGCTGTTTTTTGACATTATGTAGGTTATTCTACAAGATGTTATCTTAGCACATAGTTGTACGTGTTGCCTAAACGTCATGAGGCTTGTTATCAATCTTTGGCTCTGATGTGATGTAAAATCTGCTTCCGAGTTGGCATTACTGGAGGTCTAAGCTGTAAGTTGTATGTGTTGATGATAATTACATTGGGTTCTTGTCTCAAATACACTTAATTGAGATTCAAAGCTAGAAATTAGTTGCGCATCCAACTCGGGCGCGGTGATGCTTTCCCGTAATTCTTCTCAGTTTTTCGTAATTTATAACTTTGAACATAACCTCTCTTCAGAAAGCACAACATACAAATAACCCGTCATATTCAGCATATTCAGTAATGATTTTCTCACACAGCAAATATCACTGATTTTATACGCATGCAGACCAACACAGATAATCATCCAGACGCGATCTTGCTAATCAACCAACTTTCTTCTCAGAGATAAAAACTACAGACACGGATCACTCAGCCTCACAAAACTATACAACCAATAATGCGTGTAGTTTAGTTGAGTGATTCCTCCATAGATGGACGTTCACAACGATCCTAGTGAGCAAACGTGGCATGACTGTTTGCGCCCTAAAAACTACCTAGTCTGCAAGTTGACATCTTACAGGTTTTTTTTGGCGTTTAATAGGTATTTTACATGATAACAACATTCGTCTCCACGACGACTGATCCGCATGGTTAGTGAGCATAGCAATAGGGACAAGGGACACAAATGAGAATAACACGCATATAAGAATAATACATTTATTAAAAATAGTAATAATGAATCTTATATAAAAATACATAATCTTATGGAAGCAACAATATCATCCAACAACCAGAAACTTGTATCATTTGGTTGGCGGTACTTTGAGGACCTCGCACAGCTTCTCGTAGACCTTTCCGAAAACCTTAGTGTATCCAGAGTTAGTGAGATGCAGGTAGTCATGCATGATGTGATGTGATATGGTTTGGTCGTTGCTGATTATGTCGTTATCGATCACAACAACGTGGACGTTTTCTGTGACCTCATCAGCGTTGGCTTCATTGCAGAATTTATCCAGCAGGAATGTGTTGACGTGGTCGTTACGTTCCCTGTAGGGGTTTGGGTACTGACCTCTTGGAAGCAACGTCTGGAATGGTAAAAATCTGCATTCTTATTATGAAAAATCAAAATTCTGACAATTGCCAAATTGGGTAGCCAACACGCAGCGAACGCCACCTATAGAGGAATATCACAACGGTTGATTAATAATAATATTTATTATCCATCTGACATGAACATACATGTATTGGATTTGTCAAAAATGAATATTAACAAACTAATGAAGTCACTGATGGCGTCATAACATTTAATTTATTTATCAAGTGAATAGACCTTCGAACGTTTTTTAAAGCAGTTGATAGACTGACTGCACTCAATGTTTCGGGGAAGTTCATTATAAATTCCCAACAGATTTGGCAACTTTCTTCTAAAATTGTATTATACATATAAGGTGTATATGACCTTCTCGAAAATAAATAATGCAGGGCAAGGCGAGTATATGGTATTTTTTAAACAAACCCCTACAACTATGCCTAGAGTCCACACCTGTCATACATTTTAAAATTCCTTTTTGACACATAAATACAAGTTTGGCATAAGATGAGTAGCTCAAAAAAAAGTCCGTAACTCAATCGAGATTCTACTCGAGCATAATATATTACTGCTCTTTAAGAACCGTTTTCAAATGTTTCATCAAGAATGTCCGTGAATTAAGCTACAAAGTTACAGTGCGTTCTAATGCTAATATCGTCATCAAAACGAAATCTTAAGAATTTCATTTTGTGTTCTAATTTAAGTTTTGTGTTGCTTATTTTCAGATTTAAGAGATCGATTTTTGTTTGTTTGTTGTGAAACCTTAAAGCCAGTGTTTCGAGAACCACTCATTGAAACCTTTCAACAGACTATCACATTTACGTTTTGCTGCCATTTACCTAAACTACTGCAACCCGCATTTCACTGACACGCTTTGTAGGTTGCAGGCTCTTAGGATACTACATAGAGTATACTTTTGGAACAAGATGTGACTGAGGAAATATGACGGGGTGTAGATATCGCCTTTAGTTACTTGTTTGCCCAAAATAAAACCAAGCAAGTTTTACTAGTTTTGCACCCAATTCATTATCGCCAACCTTACAGACTCTAATACAAATACGTCACTTGTTGATCAGCTGTACACTTCAGTAGACGTGAAAACGTGATGGATACTCCTGAAATAGGGTTTATTCCAGCTGCCACAATAGATGAACATAACCTCAAATATCTTGTCATAACAGGAGTGAGGTCACTGGATTAAAGTGCGATGCGTTCCAAATAATTTCCAACTTCTGCTTATAGGTTATATTGTTAGATAAAATAAAAACATTGTAGTGACTAGATATTTACGATCCTTCATTTTATTCTCATATTTTTACACCACCCGTTTCAGTTAACTTACCGGCAAAATGATGGCAACATCATTTCCCAATCGATGTTTTATCTCTTTGATTATCTCTAAGATACCTTCAAATATTTCGTGCGGTGTACAGTCTATGTTGTTTGTACCTACGAATAAAACTACAGCCTTAATCTTAGTGTTGAAGTCTAGCTCTCCATTTTGTACTCTCCATAATATATTCTCCACCCTGAAAGTAATAACCAAATAATAACACATACACATTTATCTAGGGCGCTAAGCCCGGATTTAGGAATCTGCCTAGGATGGGGGAGGTGGGCACAGGATTCACGTTTAGGAAGATGTACAGGGTGTCCCAATATTCGTGGACATAGATATACCATTTTCACACTCAAAATCAGTGAGAGGGCGTCAGAGTTTCCTTTTTAAAGTACTTTTTTAAGATATTTTAAGAAACGATACTTCGTTTTGAATGAAACACATACATTTTGGTAGACGTGCTAATATTTGAATTTTACAAAAAACCATAGAGGGTTGGAGAAGGGTAAGAACTACCCCCACCTCTAGATAAATTATAACAAATTTTTTTCACAACTCTCTCAACGACTCTGATTTCTTTTTATTCGAAAGGTCAATTTATGAACGATTTTATCTCTTATAAAAACAGGTTATCTCGCACAGTTTTCGAGAAACAAATGCTCTTCGGAGCTGGTTTCTAAAAAAAATTTATTACATCAAGTGGCATCTAAGTGGCGAAAATGTGGGGTATTATGTCGGTGTCAGGTTATTGTTGACAACAATAATGCTGCTAGCCGCTACAATAATATTCCTGTATTTCCGTAAGCATGTTAGGATATATTTACAGAGCTCTACATTATAATGTTTCTTCTTTGTCTAATTTTTGTTAATAATACATTTATAAGTTATTTTATGGGCACATATGCTTGTAGGCATTTAAATTAGTTGCTTGTTTGATTGAACTGCTTTCAATACTATTATGACATTGTAATAGCTAAGCTTTTTTTTATCTCTCCTTTTTTTTTCGTATTCATATGGTTTAGTGAAAGAGTAGCTTTAGCTAAACTTCGCCATAATGAATCGCACTCTGTATCTTTGTAAATAAAGACGATATTATTATTATTATTATTATTATTATTATTAACAAGCTTCATAAAGTTTAAATTAATATACTAAGTGACATATAAATCCACCGAGTTTAAATGGTTTTATTTTAATAAAAGTTGGTGAATGTATTTATCTTACTGTAAATAACAAGTGAAAAAATTTTCAGCCTTATCAGTTGTACATTCCGGTTTTTATACTGCTTTTTTTAATTCACTAACGCTCTAAAAATGAATATTTCAGCCGCAGTAAAGAATCAACGTTGGCGGATTTTGGTTCTTAACGATCGGTTACGATGCCTAGAGTACAGAGACCTGTACGATTTCGTCAACTTAGTGAGTTTGATAGGGGCCGTATAGTGGGACTTCGGGAAGCTGGACTTTCTTTTCGGGCAATTGCAGTTAGACTGCAAAGAAGTGTAGACACTGTGGTTAGGTGTTGTCAGGCATGGCTTCGAGAAGGCCGTACGCAAAGAGCAAGGGGCACTGGACGCCGCCGTAGAACAACAGACCGTGAAGATCGCCGCCTAAGATTATTGGACTTAAGGGACCGTTTCTCCACTACCAGGTCCATTGCAAGTGAATGGTTTGCAGAACACGGAAGACCTATTGGCATGCGAAGTGTTTACCGACGAATGAGAAGTTTTGGATTGTTTTCATACCGGCCACACTGGGTCCTCCCTTTAACTCGAGAACACCGACGTAATCGCCTTGAGTGGTGCAGACAACGGTCACTCTGGGATCAGGAATCGAACAGTATTGTCTGTAGTGACGAGTCTCGATTTTGTTTAGGCATACACGATGGTCGTGCCAGGGTTAGAAGGCGACGTGGTGAAAGGAGGAATCCACAGTTTTTTGTTGAAAGACATGTTCATCACACTGTTAGAGTTATGGTTTGGGGTGCTATAGCTTATGGTTCCAGGTCACCTTTAATCTTCATCAGAGGTAACATGAACGCGCAGCGTTATATCTACGAAGTTCTAGAATCCCATCTTTTACCCTATCTTGACACCCTGGCAGATCTAACTTTCCAACAAGATAATGCCCGACCACATGTTGCAAGAGTCACAATAGACTTCTTTCAACATAATGATGTCACATTGTTACCATGGCCACCAAGATCTCTCGACTTATCCCCAATTGAGCACGTGTGGGATATGATGGGTAGGAGATTGCTCAATTTGCAACGTCCTCCTGAGACTCTAGAAGCACTTCGAGAGGAGTTGGTGGTTGCCTGGAATGAGATACCACAGGAGGACACTGACCACCTGATCAGAAGCATGCCTAGGCGTGTTGGAGAATGCGTAGCACATCAGGGTGCATCCACACATTATTAAAGGTCAAAGGGCTTTAAAGCAGTGCAATCATTTTGAAATTTTCATCATTTACGTATTATGCTTCATTAAGTACTTATACAAAATTTTATTAAAATAAAACCATTTAAACTGGGTGTTCGGATTTATATGTCACTTAGTATAAGCAATGTTTGAGGTTATTTTTTATTATTAATTTGTTGTTGGTTCTTCATAAATTTCCCGGTTCTTAATTCTTGCGAGTTTTTATATGGGGAGCTATAAAAACAAATGTATTCGAGGTTTAGATAGACAACACTAATCAACTGTGGGACAGTATTCAAAATGCTGCAAATACATTGAAGAATAATGACATCTTGGAGAAAATTAACTATAATTTTTTGCGCCATATTGATGTGCAGGAACAAAAATTGCTGTCATATTGACCGCCTTTTATGAAAGATTCGCACTATCGTGATGAGTAATGTCATACTTGTTCATTTTTGCTAACTTAAAGAATTAAAGACGCTTGGGAACGTCTTGATGCAATTAATTTTAATAAATAAAAAAACAGAAAGATCTGTTAAATAAAAAAGCAAGTCGTCGTCCATAGCTTTTCGTAAAAGTCAAGTATTAGAATGTCTTGCAAAGCTTATGTGTTCAAAATTTCATTCAAGTCGACTATAGGTTCTTAAAATATTCTAAAAGAATGTGTTTTAGAAAGAAAACTTTAACGCCCTCTAAGGGACAAACGCAGCACTTTTGCATAGAGGTAAATCTTGTCCAATGAACTTATTACGAGTCTAAAGATACGTGGTACTTCTATGTTCATCCACAAGGAATATTGGGACACCCTGTATATCTCGGCAACTCGAAATTGTATAGCGGAGGGATAGATTTAGCTAGATTCAGGGCTAGCAAGGTAATGTTTGCACAAAGAGACAGCAAAATGTATCTCTCTAATGAAAAAAAAATGACAGCCCTAAGCGTCTAGTGGAGGAGGGCGCCTCGTTGTAAACACTAATGCCCGCTACATACGTAACGATATATCGTAGCGATTCATCTGTGCAAACCGATTTGCGCAGATTTATCGATCGTGTGTATGAAAAATCGTTGCAGATTTATCGTTCATGGCGGCAGTTACAATTTCTATAAGATAAATCGTTGTCGATCGCGTTTGCACAGTTTTATCGTCGCGTGTGGATGACGGCCGTTCAGTTCGTCACTTCGTGGCGAGGTTTGCTTGCGTGCGCACGCGTGGTTAGCACTCCTGATTACTTACCTTACAAGTTGCAACATGTCGGAAGAAGAAAGAGGTGGACACCGCGAACAACTTGAAGAGTTTATAGCAAGCTACAGACGCGAAACTTGAATTTGGCAGACAACATCTAAGGAGTACCATGATCGCAACAAAAAAAAATGCCGCCTACCACAGGCTGGTCGAAAAATACAAAAACATTGATCCAAATGCCAACAGGTACATAGTGGTTAAGAAGATTAATAATCTTAGAACTGCATATAAAAAAAACTTAATAAAATAAAAAAATCGCATAAATCCGGAGCAGGAACTGACGAGATTTATACTCCTCACTTATGGTACTTCGAGTTTTTTATACGATCAAGAAGTACCGAGACCATCGATATCGAACATGGATGAGGACGAAAATGATGTAGGCTTTATTTCTCAGAAATTATTTATTGTTACATATTCCAATAGGTATTGTGTGATTATTACATGCTAAATACATTTATGCATTTTTGATATTAAGGTAGTACGTTTTCCCTAGCAACTCTATTTATCCAAATACGCAATCAAGAAATAATCAAAGCTTAGCGCGTCATTATTGGGTTATATAGGGTGACTCTCGATCATCGCGAAAAAAGTTAAGGTCAAAACTTCATACATTCATAGGAACGGCCTGTAGCTAAACATCGCAGTGTAGCAGATAACCTTTAATGAGGACTTATTGATTTTCTCATCACAGTGTCCTGTTTCTTTATTAGTGGAGTAACCAAAGCCAGGAGGTTTAAGTATGTCTCCTCGTTCATCCTTAAATAATTGTGCCAATCTTTGGGCGCGAATTTTAACTCATTTAATAAGTTGGTATGAGAAAATTGCTTCCTTTTCATGAGCCAGTCTTTGCACCACACACTCCGCGACTTTTTTTCTTTAAAAACATAACCAAGCCCAATAACGCAAGTGCGTCATCATCTTCCATCATGGATGACATGTTTGTTGCGCGAGAACTAAAGATCGACGCAGATATCGGTGGCGTGTGGAGACGCTAGGGTATTTCGATTTAACTGCACAGTCTGAAATCGCTACGATATATCGTTACGTATGTAGCGGGCATTACACGCCAAGGGTCATAAATGTATATCACGCCCGGGATATACAGGGTGTTTCAGTTTATTGTTGCATAACTTTAAGATTCGATAGAACTTTTAAAATTAATGCATAAAGTATATATAAACATGGGTCGAAAAATGCGTGGCTTCCGAAATACAGGGTGTTTAAATTTACTTTCTAAAATAGTTTTTTTTAAATATTTCGAACAATATTTGATGTATCACAGTGAAAATTGGTATACAAGGGTTTTTTGGTACGGCAAAACGAACCATGGACGTAGTTTTACTATAGCCGCTAGAGGGCGCTCTCTACTGTACCTGTAGTTTATTAAAATGACCGAAAAAATTTTCTTGGTGCAATTTTTTGCTTTTTGAATAAAAAAACTAATTCTTCGCACTTTTCAACATAAAAAAGCTCTCTTGTGAATTTTTGTTATAGTTAGCCGTTTTTGAGATATTTCGATTTTTAAGGTTCGATGCATTTTTAATTATTTATGATAAAATAACGTTAAAAAGTCAGTATCTCGATAATTTTTAGAAGTAGGCTGTGCCTGCAAATATCTTTGAAATTGAAAGCAGAATAAGGTTAAACGTCAATTAGTTGACAGTTAGTTTTGTTGTCTGTTGAAACCTGAAACGTTTTTTTGCAATTGTGAATGCACGAAATTTAGTTTCTTTTACCTGTTTTTTTTGTAAGTGGAGTGGTAAATTTTCATAATCAACATATTTGGTCGAATGAAAATCCGCATGCAGTTCGGGAAAGAAATTTTCAGCATGAATTTAGTGTGAACGTGTGGATTGGTATCTACCCTAATCGACTATTTGGACCCTACCTTTTGCCTGCAAGGTTAAATGCTGCGACCTTCTTGGAATTTTTAAAGGCTGATCATGCAAATATGTGGGATGATGTTATGTTAGATTTAAGAAGATTGGCCTGGTTCCAGCTTGATGGTTGTCCAGCTCATTATTCGAGAATAGTTAGAAAATGGCTTGACGAAAATTATCCAAAAAGATGGATCTGCCGTGGAGGACCAGTCGCCTGGCCTCCACGATCCCCTGACCTAAATCCATTACATTTCTTTGTGTGGGGATTTCTAAAAGAAAAAGTGTACCAGACACCCGTAACCACAAGAGATATGCTAATAGACCGAATCAGGAATGCTTGTGATGAAATAAGGTCTTATTTGAATAATGCTATACCACGTTCGATCATTCGTAGATGTGAATTGTGTATTGAACAATTGGGTTTACATTTCGAGCAACTACTTTAGATTTTGTATGTTAGTCCTAACTATCCAATAGCATTTTAGTTGTAAATAATTAATTTAATTTGTTAAAAATAATATTGGAAAATTAAACAAATTAATATTCTGTTTTTTCGTGTTTATTTGGAGTTAGAAATTATTGCTGTGTTTAAAAACACAATCTAAACGATCATCTTAATCACTTGTAATGCCCAAATCGAAAATGTAAAAAAAAATATTATTTTCCCATAAATAATTAAAAAGCATCGAACCTTAAAAATCGAAATATCTCAAAAACGGCTAACTATAACGAAAATTCACAAGAAAGCTTTTTTATGTCGAAAAGCGCGAAAAATCAGTTTTTTTATTCAAAAAGCAAAAAACTGCACTAAGAAAATTTTTTCGGTCATTTTAATACACTACAGGTACAGTAGAGAGCGCCCTCTAGCGGCTACAGTAAAACTATGCCCATGGTTCGTTTTATCGTACCAAAAAACCCTTGTATACCAATTTTCACTGTTATACATCAAATATTGTTCGAAATATTTAAAAAAAAACTATTTTAGTAGTATTTCGGAAGCCACGCATTTTTCGACCCATGTTTATATAGACTTTATGCATTAATTTCTATCGAATCTAAAGGTTATGCAACAATAAACTGAAACACCCTGTATACAACATTTTATCTACGAACACCTGTAGGATAGGTATACAGGGTGTTTCAGTTTATTGTTGCATAACTTTAAGATTCGATAGAACTTTTAAAATTAATGCATAAAGTCTATATAAACATGGGTCGAAAAATGGGTGCAAAAAATAGCACTAAGAAAAAATTTTCGGTCATTTTAATACACTACAGGTACAGTAGAGAGCGCCCTCTAGCGGCTACAGTAAAACTAATATTTATATAAATATATATGTATCATTCTAGTTTGTATCTATAAATTATTTCCAAACATCAAAAACAAAAAAATGGCAATAACTGTAAACTTACCTGTCTCCACCTATTCCAAAATTGATGCAATGCAGCGAACTTATTTTGTCAGTCCACAAAGTAGAAAATTGTAACTGTTGAATAATCGAGTCGCCTATGAATAACACCTCGCCTTCACTTGTCTTTGCTTCTTGCACGAAACGATTGTGCTGAAAAAAAATCAAGATCAGATTGACTTGGGGCCGTATCGTCAGGCGTTCCTACAATTGTAGAACGCCTTTACGGCCTCCTTGATTTCCATAGGTTTTCCTGTCCTTCATTCGTGTAAGCGTTCTATTTTGAGGTTATATTTTCTTTGTGAAATTTCAGACTGATAAAACTTGATTTTTATGATTTGTCTTATCAGCCTGAAATTTCTTAAGAGTCAAAAAGAAAACATAACCTCACAATAGGAGCGTTGACGCTGACACGGAATAGTAGAAATCTAGAAATACCCCAGCCTTACTGAAGTAGAGAAAATATTATGAAAATAAAGGAGACCATAAAGGCGTATTGAAGGAACGACTGACGATACGGCGCTTATGTAAATAACCTATAGGAGGAGAGTACTTTTGGCTGGCTAGCTAAAATCCAAAGGAAAAAATTCTTGATCTTACAGTCCTAATGCAGTCTAATATCGCGTCAGAAAAAAGTTTGTTCTGTGCTCATGAAGCTTAGGAAAATGTTCATTTTCTTCTTCAGGATTTGCTACATTGTAGTATCATGCAAATCAATAAAAAAACTACTTACAACGTCGAAATCCTCTAGCAGGGCAAGCAATCCCGAAAAACGGAGAAAAAACATCAATAAGCGTGAAACATTAAAATGCACAGATCATAATATACAATAGTGTAAGCCCCATGAGTTAAAAATTGAAGCTTATCGTGTCAATTCCAAAATTCGATAGTTTTTCCACCCATCTGAATGGAATTAAAACAATAAGCTTGAAATCACTCATGAAGCTTAATAATAATTATCAGTCTTGTGACCAAAACAAGACGTCCTTAAAAGGCTGTCATTTCGCCGTCTTTGTTTAGGACAGCCACTACTGAAAAAACAACACTTACCTATAAAGAAAATATAGACTTTTAATGAGCAGTAAGGTAAACTAGATCCAAATACTAATGGCTACTTTATTGTTACATATTTATAAAAAGTATCAGGAAATCTCGGGCCAAAAATATCTTATTAATATAACTTTTCATGTAATAATATTCCATGTCCAGATATTTCAAATTGCCATCTTACATCATGTTTTATTTCCGTAAATAACAAATTTATTAGAAACTCCTCTGTGTAACAATAGACAAGTTTTACTAGAATATTTGTAATCAAGCGCGAATTTTGGAACGGTATATCATTTAGCCGATCATCAGCCAAGGAGCACGACATCCAGGAAACAATAATTATTTTGTCCCCCTGTGAAAAAGCAAAGCGATTTTGATAAATTGCTGCAAGCAAATTCAGAATCATCGGAGTACTGGAACGAGTTTGAGATGAAACCTTGTTTTTTAGTTCTTTGTCAACCACTTCGCTACACTTTGAACAAATGCTCCTGAAAAATTGCGGAGGTTACGAGGGATGTCTTTTAAGTTTTGCATATGGAAATAAAACAACACGGTTGTTTTTCGAAGTATTATCCACGAAGATTAATACACATCTGCATGCGCTCGAACCAATTTTCCAAGTACTTATTCCACTCGTTTGCTGGCAGATCCAAAACGGCATTTTTGAACGTGTCAACTGCTTCTTCTGGTGACTGGAACCTTTGACCACGCCGTCTGTTTTTAATTTTCGGGAAAGTAAAGAAATCGTTAGGACTTAGATCGGGACTATATGGAGGATGGTCCAATAATTCCACGTTTTCTTCCGTTAAATACTGCCTTGTTTTTTGGGCTGTGTGCGAGCTTGCATTGTCTTGGTGGAGGATGATTCTTCTTTCGGGGTTGATTTTTCGAAGCTCGGTGATGACTTTTGGCATACAAATGGTGATATACCAATCCGCGGTAACAGTTCTTTGCTCATTAAGAGGAATTGTTGCAATATAACCCACTTTTGACACAAATGTCGCGACTATCTTTTTCGAAACACTTCGCGAACGGATGACTTTTTTTGGCTTTTCTTCACCTTGGAACACCCAAACAGCCGACTGTCGTTTATTTTCTGGTTCATAATAGTAAATCCACGATTCATCACCACTAACAATGCTTTACACATTTTTTGAGTTTCCGGAATTGAAACGGTCAAGCGTTTTTTGACACCAATTAACCCTGGCTGCTTTCTGCTCTTCAGTCAACAGGTGGGAGAAACTAATTTTCTTACTCCTAATTCTACATGTAAAATTTGGTGCACCCACCCTGGAATCGCCGCTAAGACTCACCCGTCCTCTTTTGAATACTCCATACCAACGGGAAATTGTCGACTGATGTGGCGCTTCGTTGCCGAAAACAGACAGTAACTCAGCAAGGCATTCTTGTTGTGATATTTGTCTCTGAAAGTTGTAATAAATTATGGCGCGAAAATGTTCTCCGTTGAGTTCCATTTTTCTAATGACTTGGTGACACTTAAAAATTCACTGTAGTGAGAACAGTGCACGTATTGTTGTGAAACTTTGAATTTAAGTTTACTAAAGAGTGAGGTTAAGATTCTGTACTGACGTTCGATCCGAGCGGCCTACTATGTTTCTATATGCAAAACTTAAAAGACATCCCTCGTATAACGATGTCTCGAATAGAGACGGTTTAAGAGTGGTTCGTGAACTCACTGCTTGTGGGACGTCGTTGCGTATTTGGATACACTGCGCGATTATTTTTGCGATATCGACCTCAGATAGATATCATCTTTACGTTATACAGACGTCATATCGACTTTGTATTTGGTCTTTTATACTACATGTTACGACGTCATATAATGACGACGGTCATAATGTCGTCATTTCTACGTCATTTTGTTGGTCGGCGTACGCCAGTAGTGCCATGAAAATGCCGAAATTATGACGTCACTATGTTCACTGGCTTGCGTCCTGTGCATTTTGTTACTTTACGTTTATTGATGATTTTCTCTCCGTTTTTTCGGATTGCTTGAAAGAAGATTTCGACACTATCAATGTTTTTTTTTATTGAGATAAGTTTATATTTTATGCACTTTTCGAAAGCTTCATCTGAACTCAGTAAAAACTTTTTTCTTTCTCAAGTTTGTTGCCATGTTTAAGAATAAAAAATTGTTTTTAAGGAGAACAGAGTGTTTATATTAGTTCTAAGGAAATTACTGCGATCGTACTTCACACATGGTTGTGGCGATAGAAATTGTACAGGGTTTGTCCGGAAAGTAATAGGACTGAGTCGATTTAAAAAAATTTATTAAGCCAATCGTTACAATTCTATAAAAACTTTCAAAATAGGCTCCATCTGCGTCGATGCAGCGCTGCCAGCGCGATTTCCAAGCATTGAAGGCATTTTCCGGAATAGCCTTGAGAGCCGTGGTGCATGCTGCTTGGATCCCCTCTGTCGTCTCAAAATGCTTGCTTTTCATCGGCCTTTTCAGGCGAGGAAACAAAAAAAAGTCCGGGAGGGGGCACATCTGGGCTGTAGGGTGGCTGCGGAAGCGTTGGGATGGCGGCCTAGGTCAGGTAGCTGTTCACAAGGAAGGCGGTGTGAGCCGGGGCGTTGTCGTGGTGCAACTTCCAGTCGGCTACGATGTCTTGTCGGACCCGACTGACCCTTCGTATAAGTCTCCTGAGCACTTCCACGTAAACCTTGGCGTTGACGGTTTGTCCAGGAGGAACAAATTTATGGTGGACGATACCTTTGATGTCAAAAAAGACAATGAGCATCGTTTTCACTTTGGATTTGCTCATTCTTCCCTTTTTTGGGCGAGCAGACGCCGTCGTGTGCCACTCGGAAGATTGCCTTTTTGTCTCGGGATCATACTCAAAGATCCACGACTCGTCACCTGTGATTACGTTATTCAAAAATTGGGGGTCACTTTCACACATGTTCAAATTTTCTTGGCACACTTCCACTCGCCGCAATTTCTGGTAGTCAGTGAGCACTTTTGGGACCATCTTCGCGCACACCTTGCGCATGTTCAAATGCTGTGTCACAATGTCATGAACCACAGATTTTGGTAAATTTAACATCTGGGCAATTAAACGAATACTTAGTTGACGGTCTGAGTTCAAAACTTCGCGCACACGAGTCACATTATCGGTGTTTGTCGAAGTCGAAGGCCTTCCAGCACGGTCTTCATAAGCGACCTCTTCCCGGCCCTCCAAAAAGGCCTGGTGCCACCGAAACACACCACTTCTTGCTAAAGCAACACCTGGGTAGGCCTGCTTGATCATATCAAACGTCTCTGTCGCAGATTTACCGAGTTTCACACAGAATTTAATCGCGTACCTCTGCTCTAACGAACGCTGCATTTTCGACTTGCACCACTCACAGAAACACGTCGCGCGAAAATGCCTGTCCTGACTCTCCAAGTGCTCGGAGACAACTGACCAGCCGCTCATTCGTTAGCTAGGAACGCCCTCTACCGAATCCAGTCGGTGCGCGCACAGTCATGGCGGAAGAAAATGAGTCCTATTACTTTCCGGACAAACCCTGTATATGAACGTCCCAAACGGTATGAAAAATGTATTTGGATCACGAAAGACATCAAATCTTCCGGAAAGCAAAACTATAACCAAGGGAGTTTAGAACAGTACCGGCAGGGAAACTGTACCATCTGGGACAAAACACTATCTGCTGGATTGGGTACTGTAAATTAGAGTAGCAGGGTACAATAAGTTCAAGAGCTGCACTGCCATCGAGGACTTTATTATGATTCTTTACATATTTTGCAAGAAAGATCGATTGAATCCTAGTGTATACAGGGTATTTCAGCGAAAAGTTGGGAAATCTCGAAACTGGATATACTACAGACCAAAATATGTGAATTGACCTAAACATACCTTAGTCCAAAAGTTGATAGTTAGCAAGATACAGGGTGTCAAAGTTATAATTTTATTTTCTATTTTTCCTTATTGCTTGAGAAGTGTTTCAGATTTTGGCATAAGACTCGGTATACGGAGGTTTTCTAGTATCAGAAATAGGAATGCGTTATTCTTTATGGCCAAACTTCTAGAGGGCGCCACTTACAGCACTATTTCTGTAAATAACTTATCATAACT